TCAACCCATCCCCCCCAAAAAAGTCACTTCCATCACATCATTCCAAATATGAACAAATATGGCTGAAAAATAACCCTCGTCTGTTGCCGGGGGGGGTGGAACCCCTAAAAAAATAAAATAAAATGCAGGGGCCTAAGGAGAAAATGCCAATAAAATGAGAGGGCATAAGGTAAGATAGGAAAACCCAAGCAAAATACAATGGACAGGTACAAAAAGAAAATGACGTCAGGCACCCTCCACCTGGCCACTGTTGGACCTACGTTATGCAACTGTTGGACCTCGGGCTCCGGCATTTTCTTTTGGGTTGATCTTGTTTTGTTTTTTGTCTTTTTTTTGATGTTTCCTTCTTTGAAAGGAAAAGGATGGAAAAGGAAACGAAAAAGAAAGGAAGAGACAGGAAAAAGGAAAGGGAAGGGAGAGGAAAGGGGAAAAAAAACAGTGTCTCACACGGACCATTTTTGATGCCAAAAGTTATCGTTTTCGTTATCGTTTTGTTAGCGTTCGTGAATCCGCTGGAACGTTTCACAAAATGATCAGGCCGTTCACAGCTGTGCATCTTTGCTATCATGCTATCTCTGTCAGTTAGTTCACTTGATGGGTTAGGCACCTCAAAAAATAAAATGCACCCACAAAACAAAATGCTGGGGTCTGACCCATTTTATTTTCATTTTATTTTTAAGGGGCTCCTGCCCCCTCATTTTATTTAGGTACCCCAATGGGGGGTAAAAATATTGAAAAATGTTGAACATCAAGCGGTGGTTTCCAGCCAAGTGGCAGGCAAGTAGGCTTGAAAAAGGTTGGAATAAATGGCCATATTTTGCCAGTCTTCGTCATAGACATCTTGCTGCAAATCAGCCAAATCAGCTGCAACCCCACGCAAGCGTTTCAAGACCTTGGCACTTGTGCAAGGTCTGAAGACAGGGGGGTCTCAAAAATTGGATGGTTTTGGCTATGTTGAAGTAAAACCATCTGAAGTTAGGGTGTCCAACACATTCCAATACCAGACAGTTGACTCCCCCAACTCTCTTGACTCCCAACTATAGTTTTGGGTGGATGTTTATATCACAACGCCGGTTTTTGTAAAAACCATGGAGGAGAAAGCGGGCCCCATGAAACGCTTGACCATCCATAGCCATCACTTGGTCCCATGATACGCCAGCAAGGCACCGATTTGGGCACACGCCTCCAAGCAGCTTTCTCATCGGCTCTCAGGGCTGCCCTCCACTCGGGTTTTAGAAGAGACTTCCAGTCAGGCAGTTTTTGAGCGATCCTTAGGCGTTCCAGTCAGGCTGCGGTGGCGAGAAATGATGGTCATGTAAAAAGGATCGCCCATTTTGGGTGGGTGGATGAAAAGGCAAGTGAAACATGTGTTCCAAAGATCACTTTCCAGCCAGCAAATAACTGATGCATTTCATATACTGCAGCAGACTCCAATATGTTTGTATCTATATATAATATATATACACATCTAAATATGAATGAATATGAATGAATATGTATGTAATGTAATGTAATGTAATGTAATGAGATGTGATGTGATGTGATGTAATGTAATGTAATGTAATGTAATGTAATGGATGGATGGATGTATGGATGTATGCATGGATGTATGTATGTATGTATGTATGGATGGATGGATGTATGGATGGATGTATGGATGTATGGATGCATGGATGCATGGATGCATGGATGTATAAATGTATGGATGTAAGGATGGATGGATGTATTTGGGGCTTCACCGCTGCTATCCATCTGTGTGAGCAGACACAGATGAGGAACTTGATTGTTATTGGTGATATCTACAACAGTGGCCTGTCACTGACACAACCCTGGTAACCCTTGAATGTGTTCAAAAAGACAATCCCCGGTTTGAAAACAAGCGTCCGAAGATTTCCACATACAAATTTCCTCCTAATAGACCCCAAAATGAACAAAGAGCGCACTAATTCACGGGTATTAATATGAAGCATCAAAGATTAAGGAATACCGAGCATCAAAAATGGCTTGTCATTTTACCAGCATTTTGTCATTGCAGGGTTGCTTGATCATCTTGATCAAATGGAGACGTCGCAATAGTTGTTAGGGGGATGGGATATGGTATCCTTCCATTTTAGCCCGGTAGCCAATCCTGGGAACCGAGCAAGAAAGTCCTAACCACCTAGCCTCTCGCTGGTTGCTTCATGTTCACAGCTATGGCTCAAAAATTACCTGTAAAATCCTGTAAACCAAAATCAGACATGGAAGACCAATGGTTTTCCAAGAAAAGATCTACATTTGTCTGCATGGAAGCTAATATCTTCATCCTATGTGAATAGACCTTCATTCCATTCCAATATATTAATTATCTTGAGTTTGAGTTTTGGCCAAAAAAAATATCAAAATGGCCATCCATTGGACCTCTCGATTGACGTCAGGCCACTCTCCCCCGGTGCTCTTCGACTCCACCGGCGCGACTGCCGCCACGGGCGCGCCCAGATTGGCCGTGACCAGCAGTGCGGCAAGGGCAAACATGGCGAGGGGCCTGGTTTTTCGCGGCTCATCCAGGCGCAACTGGGTGGGGATAGATTGCATGGGAAAAGTTGGTACCTGGATTAGTTCACCCCAATTGCAACTGGACTAATTAATCTACTTAGCCTATAACTGGGGTGAACTAACCCACTTGCGAACTGGGATGAGCCACCAAGTACAGCATATCCTGCCACTTAAAGAGGGTTTATGAGCTCGGAGTCCTTTCATTTGGGCTGTGGTATGCTCCAGAGGTATGTTCGATTCAACTTACAAAACCAGCTGGCTAGGGAATTTTACCAATTTAACCAACCAAAATTATGATGATTTCATGGATTACAAGCATCACCGGGGGTTTATAGTTCACCAACAAACATTGAAAATTAAGCAGCCAAAATGGAGTTGTTGCATTGTTTAATCACCAAAAAGAGTGATTTCACCATTATTTGGGGGTTATTTGTTAGCATCTAACCAACAAAGACATGGCCGGGGATATATATATATATATATTGGGATATAGATTGGTCAAAATGATTCAACAAATGGACATGTCTTCATATATATGTTCTTAATAAATGATGAACATTGGAAATATATATATATACAGAAACCAATCGAAATGAAAATAAACATAGCATAGAATCAACAATGACCGCTTCTACCACCCTCAGTAATTATCAGAAGCAAAGACACATAGGCACACAAATATGATATAATAAACAAAGATTAGTGAAAAACAGTGAAAACAATCCACTCGTCACCATAATAGAGAATCATCATTGTTGACCCTGCATTGTTGCTTGAGTCAATATCTGATATATCTGCAATGAAAACAGCGAAAGGGTGGAAAGAGCCAGTATATCTCGTAGATTGTGGTATGGATGACAATCCGTGGACAAAATGTATATAGCTTCAGCATATCTGGCCTCATCCCATTCCCAACAAGCCAAGCACAGCTCAGGCGCTTCCATGAAACCTGCTCTGTTGAAGCTCTTGTTCCAGGCACATCTTGCAAGTGAGGACCCAACTGCGGCACGCCACGGGACGGACTTGACTCACTTGACGGCGGGCGCCCTCCAAAATTCAGAAAAACGGTGCCACAGACAGTCGCACACAGCGCCAGGAGTGCACCAGATCGGATCCGATTTCTGTACATCCGCAGCATGGGATTTAAGTCATGGGGATTTCAAGCTTCAGAAAAGCTGACCATGTCATGTTTGGCCACGAGCCGCGAAAAGCCAAACGAAGCTGCAGAAGAGAAAGGTCAGGAAAGCGCTGTACCCAAAACACCTCCCAACCAAATCCGCCATGATGTCTGAAAATCCGGATAGGCTCTCCGTGTTTTACAATGTAGGCTCTCCGTTTTTTGACCACTAGCATCATCAGAATATCATCATATGAGCCATGGTCAATACTCACTATATGGTTGATGGTCATCCCATCCATAATAAGGATCCTTATAATGGTTATTATAAATCCCTATGAACCATTGGATGACTAGCCCCTACTAATGGTTATTAACCATGAGTATTGACCATAGCTCATATATCATCCCATTCCACCCAATCTTCTGCCGAAGTTGAGCAGCTGCTCGCCAGCCAGCCTGCCTTTGTGCAAGGTGATCGCATCGGCGATCTGCGCTTCCGTCACTTCGCGCCTTGGTATCATCCCGGAGAGCGAACATAGGGGCGCTGGCGCTGGGCATATTCAATATCATCCATGAGATATGGGGTGAGATATGGTGAGATTGCCCAAGAAATTTAGGAATCGGTGACTTCAAGCCAGGCTGTGGTGTCTGACTGGAAAACATTGGAAAACCATATGTTTTTTGTATGTTTTTCCATCAAATCCGCTAGCCTGCATCTTGAACTCAGCCCGAGGGAACTCGGAACTGAGATGTGTACCTTCTGGTAGTTGAACAGTTCGCTATGGAAAATCATCATGTTTAATAGGTAAATATGTAAATCATCTTTACATGGGCATTTTTTCCATAGATATCTTAAGTTACCCTGTACATACTTTTTGTACACCCATATTCGAATATTAGTATAGCAGATACATGTCGTATCAAATTGATGGTCTTCCTGGGGATGTTATTCTGACCGAGACTGAGAGCATCCACAGATTCCGACACTTCCTTAGTGCCCGCCTGCCAGGAAAAAATCACTTTCCATCACGCCTTTGGTCTCTGGAGACTGGAAGATAGCAACCCACTTTTGGGCCCGAAAAAGGTGCGTCTCGTTCTCAACCCCTGCTTCCAGAACTTGGAGTTGATAGTACTAACAAACAAACAAAAAACAGGAAGAAATACGTTTAATATATATATATATCATAATATTGATATATCATGATATATATATATGTATATATATAATCATCGTTTAAGCCATGTTGAAACATTGTCCAAGAACTGGTCTCCTTCATCAGACTTTCCAGCGATCTGCAGCCAAGACAAGCCCATTTTTGGCTTCACAGGCTTGATCTGCACCCCGGGCTCAGCGAATGCGATCTTTGCGCCTGCTGTTTTTGGGGGATCCCCAAGAATGAAAACTCCATAAGACTCCTAAAATGGATGATTTGGGAATACACCTATTTCAGGAAACCTTCATTTTGGCTCAACTTGAGATGCAACATTTGATACTTTGAAGCCCTGGGACTTGTCGGAAAAAAGGGGGGAATGATATCAGCAGAGAAGGACGGTCATCATTGTTAGGTTATTAGTTGTGGGGCCGGGGGAATCAATAACGATAATAATGATAATAATTTAGTGATGATAATGAAAGAATATAATATGATATAATATGATTTAGTAAGAACAATCACAGCAATTTTTCGATCATAAGACCAACCAACACAACCTCGTGCAGATTTTTCCTGTATCATGTGTGTCAAGAATCATATACCCCAAATCCACTGGTTTCTCCGGAATTTTCTCCCCATTGATGACTGGCATGATTCATGACTTGCATCCACCCAAATTTTGGGGACAACAACATAATTCTGCATCATTCATTGGTGAAATCCTGTGAAATCCTGTGAAATCCCTATATATGTTGGATGCTTAAATTTCACCTATTTTTGAATCTTTAGATCCCCCCATTTTGGGGGATTGCCCATCTCATCTTTTCAGCATCTGACAAATGCCTCTGCCATCCGTCCAGCGTCCGCCTAGGGATTTCATCGAACGGATTTGATGGGCAGCTTGGGAGGGGGAGTTAAAAACACACATGGAGGGTTTGACGGTTCTGACCAACCAAAAAGAGTGGCTGCAACCAACAGAAATATGCCTTTTGACCAACAAGAAATTGGCTTAATTATAAGCAAGGAAAGAAAGGTACTTTCAATGAAGTCTTGGGTTGTAAGCCACTGAGCAAAAACAGTTGCGACATTTACAAGCAAAATTGTTTGCTGGGGAGACTGAAGTCAATCACTACAAGCCACACCTATTTCTGAGTTCAGAAAAACTATTAGCAAGTCCTAATCCGGCTCCAAAAGGTCTTACTATGTCTCATCGAAGTTCCTGGAAATTGTGGGTAAGACGAGCTCATCTTTGATCGACATCCACAGGAGCTCATCTACAATCTCAACCCATGAGACTAAACCTTGGTTGATTCATCATGGGGTGTCACATGCTACTGTTGTACTGTACGCCCCAAGGATCAACGAATCCGGGGTTGACATTATCATACTTTCCACCACATATCCCCAATGCTGTTGGTTATAACCCCCCATTGTTCTTAAATCACTATTCATCACAATAAATCTCATCCCACTACTGTAATATTCACACCCCCATTCTATGGTCCCAAATATGTGGTTTCATCTCCCACTAAACCATGGTTTCTGGGGGTGTCTAATGATTTATCTGGGTGAATGTAAATAAGGCTTCTTATTGGGATAATTCCTCTTACTAAGCATCATTCCCCTTACTTAACCATCATTGCCATCATTCCATAAGCTCATCATCCCAACAAACTCTGTGAATTATCAGGTTACTTTGGGAGAGTTACTTACCCCTACAATTCCCATCATTCCAGGCTTCGCAGGCTTCGGTCGTTATGATTTATATACCCAGGCCAATCAATCCATATCACATGTTGTTGGTGATCATTCTTCCATGATATTCCAATGAGATTTCCATTCATATCCTGTTCCCATTGCTCCCCATTAATCCCTATAAATTAATTGCCATTCACCCCCTATTAATTCACCATTAATTCCATAATTCCAACTTTATCCCACGAAAAGCAAAAAATATCCCCATGAATAATATCCCATTAAATCACCCTTCTTCATGTGATTTATTTTTTTTAATCTGTTACGCGAAAATCCCCGTTTCCATAGGTAAATCCTCTATAAATGGGCCATTTTCCAGTTCGCTATCTGGTTGGTGGTTGAGCCACCCCTCTGAAAAATGATGGAGTTCGTCAGTTGGGATGATGAAATTCCCAACTGAATGGAAAGTCATAAAATTCCATGGTTCCAACCCACCAACCAGCTATGTTAGTTTACTGGAAGGTAACCAGATCCCAACCATCGACCGGAAAATCCCAGGAAAACCCAGGGACTCTTCCACGGAGACCACATCGCCCCGGCCCGGGATGCGTTTCTTTTCGGGAGCCTCGGTGATCAGCAGCTGAGACCCAAAACATGGGGATTTCAGAGTGATTCTCATGGGATTTTATGGTGATTTAGTGGGATTTTATAGGGATTCAATGGGATGTTGTAGTGATTTAATGGGACTTTGCAGTGATTTAATGGAGTTCATGGGATATGAATAGCAGGATAAATGGAAGTTTGATGAGATATTCATGGGATATATATCCCTCCGGTAATCAAACATGGCGTGCTGGAAAATCCTTGATTTATAGGGAATTTCCAATTGCCATGTTTGATTACGGAAGGGTACTGGCGGGATTGGTTTTGGTGATTAATAGTTATGGTAATGGTTATAATGGTGATATAAACGATTGGTTAACCATGTCAGTTTATATATCTTTGCGAGATTTTGCGAGCTGCTATACGTACATCAAATCAGAGACTTGCTAGCTGGAACTTGGCCAAAATCCCGAGCCCACCTTCTTCTCAGCATCCTGGAGACTCTTCTCCGCTCCCTGACGATGGATGTGGCGCATCCATGAAAGTTCGATTTGGGGGTCCCATATGGTACCATTTCGGAAAGATGTTGAGTTGAAACGAGTTGAAATTTGTATCATCTACACACAGACTTAAAAATCCCATGATTTGTCATTGCGGGAGAAACCTTGTGAAAACTCTTTGTTGGGGGTTCCAGAAACACCTGCGGATGATTGGAATACCTGCTGCAATAGACCTGAATAGATTGGTTTTAAGGGAAACCCCAAAATTCACAGGAAACCTGGGCTTTTACCACACGATTCACAAACAAAAACCTTGCTTGTTCTACATCTTTTCATCCCAAATATGGGGGTTCTAAAAAACGAAAACTTAGATTACCAGAGGGTACCTGAAATCCAGCCATTTTTATTACCCTCTGGTAAACATCACCATAACTATGGAAAATCACAATGTTTAATGGGAAAATCCTATGTTTTTCCCTAAGAAAATTCTGGCACCATGAATGGCCAAGTCGCAGAGTCATGGGTGACGCGCAGTTCACCGCTCACACCAGGGCCGTAGTTCATCTCCGGGTGTTGCAACTCGGCGACGACACAAAAAGCCACAGCTTTGTCTGTAGAGTGCATATCTGGTTGGTGGTTGACCTACCCCTCTGAAAAATGATGGAGTTCGTCAGTTGGGATTGTTGTCCCCAGTATATGGAAAAATAAAATGTTCCAAACCACCAATCAGATATATTATACATATTAATATTATATCTAAACTGATTCCCAAATGCTCCATGTATGATAAATTTACCTACATTGGGGTGATGTATGGGACACATGTTGCTAAATATTCCATACATGGATATACATGGAGCATATGGGATTGTCTAAGAACTGCAAATTTACATGGGATTTACAAAATTCAGCCGAGTAATGATGAATTCGTTTGTAAGATTGTCTAAGATCCAATGGTTTCGAAAATGATCGTCTTTTTGGAACGTGTTATTTTGGGGCATGTGTCCCATCTTTGGACCCATATAGTATGAACGAAAATTTGGGTACCAATTGGGGGACCCACAGTTTGGACATTTTATGCATTGAACTCCAATAATTCACTTGTCATTGTACAACCCTCTAGAGGGGGCCTCCTAGTATTTCCATGTATTTCCTGTACAAATCGAACGGTTTTGCAGGGGTCAAGTATGGTTAAGCAATATCAAACCATCAGCTACTTTCGGGGTGCACTGATTTCAAGTCAATTGGGATGATCGAACAAGACATCTCCAAAACAACAAACTACATCACAAATATGCGCATTAACATCCATCATGGCTCATCTTTAGGTCACTTAAGTTGAGGACGAAGACTATCCAATTCAATCTGGGCGAATAGGATCAATTTACATAAACTGCAATGCATCCGGTTTGAAGTGCCCCAGGCTCAATTCCACCAACATCCACCCCAGATTCATTACGGCCCACATGTTCCCCATGCTTTGTTGGGTAAAATGCCAATGCTTGTTGCTAAACTCCCCACTGTTTGGTGTAGAAGCCCAACTGTACATGGTTTGCTGGGAAAAATCCACCTGTTTTTTTGCCAAAAAAAAATCATCCCCACCTGAGCCATTCAAAATACCCCTATCATCCCCGATCCCATCTCATAGTTGGTCAATAGGTTTCCCTACAATGAGGTTATCATGGCTTATCAGAATCCCCATGAAAAAACAGTGCGGTCTCCCCTGTTTCATCAACGGTATTTTTTCCCCACACTTTCCCTGACACTATCCCCATCGTAGTATACTCCCCTGTTTCAGAGCCAATCAACCATTGGACTGGTTGAAGGAAAAAATTACCGGAAACATCAATCTTTCATGGGAAAATCGATGGCTCCGGTGAAGATTTTCCCGCCCCATACTTTCCACCGATCAAGGGGGCCATTGGGCCTCCGCACCACTTTCCCCTGACCACCTGACTGGCCTCCCGCCAGGATGTATGGCGTGCTGCCAGAGATGCCTCAGAGACGAAGAATGGGGGATTCAACCAACAAAAATGGTGATTTACCATCAACAACAGGATTTAACCAGCAAAAACCATGATTTGGCCATCAAACATGGTGATTTAAGTAACAACAATTGGGATTTAACCAACAAAAATGAAGGATTTAGCTACCAAAAAATAAGGATCTTACCATCAAAAATTTGGTGGTAGAATGAAATGTTAAATCTGTTAAATGTTATATAAATGGAAATAATGCGATACCATCGAACAAATCCCCTATTTTTGGATGGAGCTTTCAGGGGACAATCGATTTCGTGGATAAAATCCAGCACGCCATGTTCGACCAACGGACCGGAGAGGAGCGACAGTGAAGTCTGCGAGTTATATGAGTAGTTTAATCAGTTAGCATCTCAGTTATCTCAGTGGAAGCAATCAACTTGGGATGATGAACTTGGGATACTTATGTTGTTTTGTTTGGGGAGATACAAAAGAAGTAGAATATGATGATGAAGGCAAAATCTACAGGACACTCCCAGATAAAATGGAAATAAACAAAATGGCAGATCTCAATCCTAGAAAGTGAATGGCCATCAATGCGGCAGTGAAAAGCCGTTCTATGCCAATTTAAATCTTTAGGGAATAGGTAGGGAATAGTCCTACACATTTCTTCTGAAGTGAAACACCGTTTTCTATCTTTCAAAACCGCCAGGAGGTGGTTGCTCTGGCGAGCGTGAAACGACGCCAATCACCATTGTGGTGTTGAGACTCACCTCTTCCCCCGAGAGGTATAGGTCTGTTCAAAAATGGGTGAGACCGGGAGACCCCAAAATGCCAATGTCAATATGGAAAATCTAGCTCTCCATTGAGGAGGATTTTTCGTCACCCCTGGCTCCTTGGATCCAAGTATTAAAGGCCCCAGTTAGAATTCAGTTTTTCATCGCCCCATCCAACTAAAAATATATCCACCACAGACAATTCCTAGTTCTTACAGTTGTACCTTAATTTACCTGTGGTTTAGGGCCCCTTACTGTATCATTGTTTCAGCATGCATCAACTGAACCCTTGGGTCTCGAATTTCCACAGGGAAATTCGAATACCTGAGAGCCCCCGCCAGGGCCATAATTCCTGGGAGCCCGACTGACTTCTTAAATGGTAAATCAGCAATCAGGAATATGTTTACCAGTGTTTACCATCTATTTTCATATTAAATACCACATTTGTTGTTTTACAATAGTATGTGCATATGTATATATATATAATTATATAGATATTTACATATTTACATATATATATATATACTGTATATATGAATCAGGAATCAGAAACTTTCACTCAAAAAGACAGCAAGTACAAAATGCTTGGTCTGCACTTGATGTTGACTTGTTGCGCACCGATCTCTGAAAGAATGTCAGGAGCCGCGAACCACACTCGCCGTCGAAACGCCGTATCAACAACTGGGTCGCCCACATTTCTGGGTGCGTCAACCATTTGCACGGGCCGCCCCTAGCACAGGATGACTTTCTGGCAGCCAGGTTGGATTGTTTTGCAACTGTTGGAGCCAGACTGAGGGGGTTCTAATACAACGAATTCACGTCAATATAACTTAATTCACCCAAAACTATATAGCTATTGAAATGCTATTGAAGTATCCAAATTGCTTCAAGATTCAAGACATCACATATCAGTGATATCACCTAGTTGCACTTATTGAAACTTGGCTCTCCCGGGGCACCCCAAAATTTCCCGCCTCAGGTGCCCCTCCATGACCTGATCTTCGATCCATGTTGGCTCCTTCTGTGGATCATTTTATAAAATTGCCCTACGGAAACCATATAGCCATGGCTTTTCCACATAGTATGGCCATACTATGTTTACCCTAGGGATTCCTATAGTATCAATCCCTAGTATTGCGGCCACTCTTTGTTGAGGAAAATGACCATCGACCACTGGAGATCGGGGTACCCTATTTTCGAACAAACATTTTTTTTGCAAAACTCGAATTGGATTACGAATTTTACTCTATGTTACTATTGCAAAACCCAATTGCAAAACCAGTATGTTGGTATTTTACTCTATTTTACTCCTTCAAACTCGGAAGTCAATACCTTCCAACAAATCACATCTGTTGTCCCTCGGCTTCCAGAGTCTGGGTCCGCCGCTGCAAAGTACGGCCACTTGGACCGCCCCGCGTTGATCCAGCAAAGCTGCGGGCACCACAAAAATGAGATACGGTACCCTGGGGACTCGATCACCCTTGGATAAGCTGAAATAGATGTGGAAAACCTGTGGTTTCCGCAGAAAACTGATCTACAAGTGGTGGATTTTTCTACATCTATGTCAGTTTAGAGGAAGATACTTGGATGCGCATCCCACTTAGCAACTCGATTGTAAGCCATGCTACATGAATGGGGATCTCCAATAAATATATGGGTGATGCTATGGTTGCGAACCAAGTCTTACAAGTAGCTGGGATGCACCCACAAGTACCCTCAATCAAACATGGCAAATGAATGGACAGTGACAGGAGTTTCCAGGCCCGGCTCGGTTCCCTTCCACTTCTAGGCCCTGGACATTCCTTCGGTCAGCAGCATGACACAAAACGTGCTGTTGTCTTCCAGGTGAACTACCTGGTGCAACCAGTCATAAAGACAACCAAACCAAATAATATCCAATTAATTACATGGCAATACCCCTATGAATTGCTACAAGTACTGACTATATAGTCTATACATGTATATACCATCGTATACCCATTGTCTCAGGTTGTTTGCGATTTGTTTGATTTGATATGTTCCCCCTAGTGAAATGACCATAATGGGAGTATATCCAATTTTCAGACACCCGATATCAAGTAGCTTCATTTTGAATCGCCGCATTTTGATTGGTGAAATCCCATAAATCATCATCATCGTCGTGGTCGCCGTCATCATTATCAGCATCATCATCATCATCATCATCATCATCGTCATCATCATCATCATCGTCATCATCATCATCATCGTCATCATCATCATCCTCATCCTCATCGTTGTCATCGTCATCGTCATCGTCATCATCATGGTCCTCGTCATCATCATGGTCATCGTCATGGTCATCGCCATCATCGTTGTCATCATCATCACCACCACCATCATAATCATAATCATCATATGAGATCTGATCATATGATAGCAGAACATATCACCAATCAGATATGAAACATTAGCTGCCCTCAAATGTGGTAAGGTTAGTGAAGCAATAGGATCCACCACCCCAATTTTACCATTTTTATGGTTGGTATCAACAATCGTGACTAGCATGTCTATGGTTTATTTCTAATGATGGTTTACTATAAACTATGGTTGTCATTATAATTCTGATTAGTATAAACAAATATAAATAATGAGTGTCCAAGCATCATATCGCTACCATTGTTTACCAACACTAATTATAAAATCGAAGGAAGTTTAGAAGTCAAACTTCCGACAATATGGACAGATGAAAAGCAGAGTAGGGCAGAGGCAGAGAGAAGAGAAAGATTAGAAGAGAGAAGAGTAGAAGAGAAAGAGTAAGAGGACAGAAGATACAGATGGGCGAAAAGGTAGGAAAGTCGCGATTCACTGTGTTTTTCCAATGATTTGTGGCTCCGGAGAGTCGAAAAGTAGGCTCGCTAAAGCGGCGGGTGCGGAGCTAGCTGGCCAGATGAGAGATGAAAAATTGCACGCCGTTGTGGCGCGAAGCACATTTCCAAGTCAAAATGTACAAAACACCTCAGCGTCGGACCACTTTTGGAAGTTGAGATGTCAAAAAAGTGCACGCCGTTGCGGCGCGAAGCACATTTCGAAGTGAAAATGTAGAAAACACCTCAGTGTCGGACGACTTTTGGAAGTTGCGATGTCGAAAAAGTGCACGCCGTTGTGGCGCGAAGCACATTTCCAAGTCAAAAGTGTAAAAAAATGACGGTCTCGGACCACTTTTGGAGGTTCCGATGTGGAAAAAGTGTCGAAAAAGTGCACGCCGTTGTGGCGCGAAGCACATTTCGAAGTCAAAAGTGTAAAAAACTGAGGGTTTTGAGCCTTTTTTGACGTGAAGATGTCGAAAAAGTAGACACTGATTAACTTAACTAACTTGACTAACTTAACTAACTTCACTAACTTAACTACCCTAACCTCGACAACAACAACAACAACAACACCAACCACAACAACCAACCACAACAACTACAACTACAACTACAATAGATCGATAGATGGAGAGATAGATAGATAGATAGATAGATAGAGAGAGAGAGAGATAGAGAGAGATAGATAGATAGATAGATAGATAGATAGATAGATAGATAGATAGATAGATAGATAGATAGATAGATAGATAGATAGATAGATAGATAGATAGATAGATAGAAGATAGATAGGTAGGTAGGTAGGTAGGTAGGTAAGTAGGTAGTCAGGTAGATAGGCAGAGAAAGAGAGAGAAAGAGTGAGAGAGATCAAGCACCTTTCAATCCATCAGTGGATTCGCTTTGCCATCCCTGATTCACAACAACCAACTTCTCCTATAGGTTTCCTATTTTTGAAACTTCCGCCACCGCCTTGTGCGGTACTACTGGTATGATATAATGATTTAATGGTAGTGATATATGTCTCCAAATATTACAATGGTAGTATAGTACCGTTATAAGAATTACCATTATATCAATAATTATTATTATTACTCCATTATTAATTGGTATATCATTACCATTCTATTATATTATGATATTAATAATGATGCCTCCTTCGCTTCCCTTCGAAGATCAACGCCGAACGCCGCGTCGAACGCCTCGCTGACAATTTCCAGGCCCACGAGCTTCCGCGGCCTGTGCCCATGGCTGGCGGCTGGGTTGGTTTAAGGGATGGCCTCAGGGGGCTTCACCATGAGAAAATGGCTGGATGGTTTGATATTTTTTCATGGTGATTAAAAACCCATCAGAAAACCATCACCTAGAAAAATGGGATACTGGGAGATACTGGGGGATTGAAACCATCAGAATGCGTGGGGATTTGTTGAAAAAATTATAACATAACACAATCTAAGAAACAATCAGATTCAATGGATTCCGGGAAATCGGAACCGGAAAGCATTTTGTGTTGATTCCCAAATCTGGGCAGCTATTCCCTAGGGACTTTGACCTTGAAGATCCCTTTTTCAGCACGCACTGGGCACGTCGGTTCACCGGCCACCTGTTTGGGAACACAGACCGATTTTTTCCGTGGATCCCCCAAAAAAGGGGTAGTCTCAAAACGGGGATACAGTACCGAAATTACCAGAGGTTATGGCCAGTTGAACTGGGAAAACGATTACCAGCTACTATAGAAAGGTGTTGCTTCAATCCCATTACCTCCCATTGTAATCTATATAGCTATTATTACCCACTGCTTCAACATGAGAATGTTTTTTCGCCTCGATGAATTCACGTGTTTGACACGTAAATCCCCATGAAATCCCCATGAAATCAGCGGCAGTGGCACCTCTTGAGGTCTCGTAAGCCCATGGCTCGGGCTGCCGCCACAGCCCGATTCTCAACGGGAGGTGCCCATAGCCTCGCGTCGTTTTCAAACACGACTTGGCAATGGGGATTTCAGAAAAAATGGATAAAAATGGTGGATTTCATGGGATTTAACCATCAAGAATGGCCTAAATGAGGAGTTCAATTAGTAAATTCAGCACTGGACTAAAACCATGACTTCCCTGGGCCTGCTATGGCACCTGCCAGCGTTTTTCAACAAAGGGATCTGTGTTTTTCGCACGACTCTACCATGGCAACAGGAAAACCTGCCATTCATCCATTCAAATCCCCATGTTCGACACATCTGGAACCTTAGATACCAAACATTCTTCCAAATCAAAGCCGAAGAATCACCCGATTTTCACCAACCATTCACCATTTTTTGCTACACAACAAAAGTCAGTAGCATATCTGAGCATCATTTTCCACATTTTTCGTAACTGGCTACCACCATTTCTGGGGTCAAATCCCTTTCTGTAGCTGGCAAGCTGGGACATCCCCGAACTAAATGGAGGCTTTATACCCTCTGGTAATGACTAACATAGCTATTGAAAATGACCATAGAAATATTGGATTTAGCTATTGAAAATGGAGATTTTCCATAGTTGTGGTGATGTTTCCCAGAGGGTAAATGGGGCATGTTCCATGATTGTTCTTGTCATAGGAACATAGGAACTGCAGTATCTAGCTTTGTAAATGGTATAGAAAACCCCCAATTTGTGGTGAATCCTCCATTTGCTGGCGTTGTTGATTCAATCCCCACATCTTTATTGGTAGAATCGCCCCATTTTTCATGGTGAAAAAAGGGCACGGACTCCAAGAAACTGCGCCACGGGTCGCGCGGCAGCATCTACCACCTGTTTGGGCCGGAAGGGTGACATAACACTTGTAGTGCTGGGATGTATATATCCCATGTCCGATGGATATTAATTATATCCATGTATATATATATATGCATACGTGTATCATGTATATTTGAATATATTGCCAATGGAGAACTTTCATGAGCTATCTCAATATCAACCCCAAGAAAGATATATTTGTAATATGACCCAGAAAACTTTGCAAGAAGAGAGAAATATGTCCGCAATTTCAAGTACTTCCCGCTTGGTGAAGTATTTCCCAGATGTATCTAAGATATTTGATAATCATGTCCCAAACATATTAATTTGTGAAAATAATTTGCCAATAAAATTCCCAATAAATAGGTAATTTCCCTATTATTTCTACATTTAATCACATTTATCCCGTATACATTTAAGTTATTGTGGGAAATACCCATATCCCCAATACGTACCCCCCCCCCATTTCAAGTATTTCCCCCTCAAAAATAATGTCCCAAATATATGTTCAAATATATATTTGATAAAATCATATACGAAAGATTTCCCATGGTTTTTGTGTACCTCCAAACATGAATCACTTCCCAAAAAAAAATATGTAATACATATGCGCAGCTGTCAAAACTCCTTGTTCATATTATGAATCATCATATTTTCATATATTACATTACTATAACTATGACATTATCCCATTACATATATCACATGTTCAAATATGTTCATTATGAATCCCCCATAGATTTTCAGTTATTCCCCATAGATTTTCTCCCCCAATCCATCACAGCCCCGCCATCGCCTCGCCCATGATGCTCCAGGCACTTGCAGCACCTTCAGGAGATGCCCCCGCCAAGTTGCTGAGCACCGCCTTGGACAGCCGCCGTGGACGGCCGGGAATCTGGGGCTGAAGCTGAGGGAAATATTATAGTAACGATAATATAAGTAGATGATATAATCTATACGTCTTACTAGTATTTTTGAATTCAAGTACAAGATAGTATAATGATAGTTATACTCATACATGAGTATTCAGATCAACTATTACTATCATCATAATTCCATAATTCTAAGATACCCTCCGGTAATCAAACGTGGCAGTGGAAAATTGCCTATTCATGGGGGGATTTTCCAGCTTTCCACGTTTGATTGTCAGGGGTATATCTTAGATACATGTCTGAATAGTATCTGAATCTCAGATCATCTAAGTCATCTAAGTCTGATATATATATATATTATATATATATCGCTATGGTTTCCGGATCAAATTTGTGCCCCCAAAACAACAGCAGCTTATGTTCATTTTAGTATTCACCATCCACTTTTAGGGGTATCTAATTTGGACTAATTTGGACCACCCATATCTGGCAGGTCTGAAGTATCACTGGATTGTTCAGTGGATATTTCACTGGAGACTCAGTGGATATGAAGATTTGCTTACCCTCTGGTAAACTAACATAACTATGGAAAATCACCATTTTTAATGGGAAAACTCACTATAAATGGCAATTTTCAATAGTTATGTTATTATGTTAGTTTACCAGAGGGTAATCCATCTTAATCCTCCATTGTTCACGGGTGAATTCCGCGTTCAACCTCTTAGTGAAACTCCTGACGCTTCAACCTCCATTCAACCCACATGTTTTCCCCATTTTCCTGCGAAAAAGGAGAAAAACGCATGATCTGCACGGCCAACTCACATCCACGGCCGCGTTTTTCGCCCAGGCACCCGGTAGCGCGTCTCCACCTGCGCATGCGCTGTGGCCTGCCAGCAAGACATGCTGGGAGCAGCCGAAAAGTGGTGATTTCACCGTACAAAAATGGTGGATTCATGGTGGTTTAATCAGCAAACATTGTGATGTTGCACGATCTCACCTGCAACTATGATGACTCAACGTCAAAAATTGTGTCTTAACCAGCCAAAAAATGTTGTTTCACCAGGAAAAAGGCTTGTATAACCAGCAAAAACTTAACATGGAACACAAACATATAGTCACATCCGAAAATACCTAAAACATCCTAAAACTATGGCAACATCTGAAAATCACCCAGACCTGGACCGTTTGGGTTGTCGGTTGTCGAAAAGGGGATTCGTTACCAGCAATCTGGCGAATCTTGGAGACGGCGTCGTTGGCGAATCAATGAGTCACAACTCCAGATCCACTTTTTCTGCACAGCTTTTTGGTAGTATAAACTTGGTAACACAAACTCGAAGATTGCTGTTGGTTATCTACTTATATCCCAGAATTGATACACTAATTTATATGATTTATATGTATAGATATCTACATATATCCCAGAATGATTGGCTCTCTAAAAACTCTTGAAGCCACGCTCAAAAATGAGTCTAGTCATGTTTGAGGACACCGGTACGGGTACGGCACCCAGCTAGCCGCAGCTAGCCCGTGATTCCTGCCTCCCCACAACCCGGTTCAACCTTGGATCCCAAGGTCGGCAGCCATAGATTCTCTGCTGGTGGTTTCAATCCATTCAAAATCCATCCAAAAAATATATCAAAAAATGGTGAAATACCTCTGGACTCATATCATCACGCCATTTTTCAGACGGAAAAGAATATTGAACTGAGGCAAGCAACCAGTTTCATCCAGCTCTGGATGGATAAGATCTCCATGATATTCCAATAGAAACAAACATGAGTCAAAAATGAACAAGTGAACATAGTCTGAATGGATCAAAACCTCTGATACCATAATTTGGGTGATTATTCACATCCATGAATCCCAGCTATTGATCTTCATCAATCAGTCATCGACGGGGCTGCAGGTGTTCGTTCTGACGAGGTATGTCCCTACGTTGGTCATATGAAGTTCTGTGAGCTACTGGTACCATCAGACCCTGCCAAAAGAGAGAGGTTGGAAGACTATCCTCTAGAAATCGGCAATTCTTGGGGTCTTCGCTAATTGGGAGGATTTTGTTTTGCCGATGTTTGGATAGCGAAAACATATACAATTGTATCAATATTGTATCCATATCCCCATTATATCCCCACTATACCACCATTTTTAATAGTTAAGTCACCATTTGGATGGTTAAACCACCATCTTTGATGCTTAAAATCACCATACATCCACCATCCTTGGTTCAGTTGGCTGAGCTTTGCACGCCCAGGATGGAGGCAGCGCGCTTCTGGGACCTAGATGCTGATGATGGTTGTGAATATGTTATGAACGTGTCATCATCATGACTACTGTGATATGCTCATGATTACTATTTTCACCTATGATCATAATCATGATCATCATAATCATCAATAATCATACTTGATCATCATTATATAATCATCATTCATCATCCATCTTATAATGATGATGAAGCACACCCTACACATCTTGCGTCGCCATTCCTCACGCCGCGGTGACAAAGGACAGGACAAGATGCCACCCTCGTCGTCCATCACCTGACCAAATGACATGGCATCACTGAGGAATGCTGAGGAATCCAGATTTCACCGGGGGGATTTAACATACGTAATTTCAAGATATTTCAAGCAACAAGATTAACCAACAATATTAATTAACAATATTAACTTGAGGCCGGGGGTGGATGACGAAAGCTAGCGGGGTAGGAGAAAGAAGGAAGGGAAGAGGTGAGTTGCGGAGGGACTGGCATCATCGTGTCGCGGCATTGTTCGTCCCAACGAGGATGCAACAATGATATATGATATATGATATATAACAATGATATATATGGGGGAGGGGGCAGGGGGGGGCCCTTTCGCGTGAAAAAGCACGTGATGTCCTTGGGGAGCCCCGGAATACTTGCTAAAGCAAGAATACTCTAGCGAGCTGACGCTAGCTTTCGTGATAATGCCAATAATTGCCAATAATGATAAAATGTAATTGATTAACGATGATGGTGATGATGATGATGATGATGATGATGACGATGATGATGATGATGATTATGATGATGATGATGATGATGATGACGAGGACGATGACGAGGACGATGACGATGACGAGGACAAGGACGAGGACGAGGACGATGATGATGATGATGATGATGATGATGACGAGGACGATGGCGAGGACGATGACGATGATGATGATGATGATGATGACGATGATGATGACGATGATGATGGTGGTGATGGTGATGATGGTGATGATGATGATGATGATGATGACGATGACGATGACGATGACGAGGACGATGGCGAGGACGATGACGATGATGATGATGATGATGATGATGACGATGATGATGACGATGACGATGATGATGATGATGATGATGATGATGATGATGATGATGATGGTGGTGGTGGTGATGGTGGTGGTGGTGGTGGGGTGGGGAGGGGAGGGGGGGGTCCCCCCCTTTCGCGTGAAAAATCACGTGATGTCCTTGAGCAGCCCCCGGAATACTTGCTAAAGCAAGAAGACTCCAGCTAGCTGACGCTAGCTTTCGTGATTTACAATATTAATTAACAATATTAATTAACCAACAATATGTTCACCATTATTTATTAGTATTAGCCAAGATTAACCAACAATCTTCGGGTCAAAGGCTCCATGTCTGATGGCTTGCTTCTTGGCTTGCGCCATGGAGCCCATGGAGCCATGGGAAATTTAACTGCCCAAGACGCAACGAGAACATCCATGGCTCCATGATTAATGGCCATATTAGTGTGATTATATGTGATTAGAGTGATTAGTGTGATCATTACTAACCCTACACAGGTCTGTCATTGGAGGATTAGTGTGATTATATTCTGATTATTCATTCTCATTTTAAATCACGGCCCAAGTTAAGGATGGTTTTCCTATTGCATCAACCACGACACCGGGGCCAAACTGAGCATCCAAGGAACATAGCACAGTTCTGCCAGTTGGTTCGTGCCGAAGGAGTCCAGGCCTCAATGGTTTCGACTTAATCAAAATGAGAATCAATTGGAGTGGCTTGGAGTGTATACCTCATTTATGGTCCAGCCATGTCCATTGGAAAGATTTCATGGATGACGTCCCAAAAATTTGTGCTGATGAAGTCAAATCCTCACTTGGGCTTGCAAGGAATCCTGTTTGGACCCATGTCTTTAGTTGGTACCAATAATTATTGGTTCAAATCCCCATTTCATGAGCCATTTGAAAACTGCCGTGATTAGCCTAAGACCATGGGTTTCCTCTAAGAATCTATAAGAAACGGCCAATCACTTCGATAATTGGCCGTGGGGTCCGATTTGAGAACCCCCACCATACGAGATTTCCATCATACTTCCATCAGCCACGAGATTTCCATGTTGTTTAGCGGTTTCAATCCCATTTCCTCAGCATTTCCCGATGCCCTGATGTTGCGGAATATGATGCCGATTTTCCGCATCTGTTCAGCTTTAGAGATGGTTTCCCAAAGTCAATATATAGTTAATTGTTATGTATATATATATAGTATATATAGTTCTATGTATATAGTTCTATGTATATATATTATAAATAGTTAACATATAGGTCATCGCCGGTGAGTTTTGACTCCTCTGCCGTGCTCCCGCACTGATCATCGCCTCGACTGCCTTCGCAGCGGCCTGTAAGGGATGGCCAGGTGGAGATTCTGTCTTTGATATGTCTAGATATGTTTGGATATCCTAAGGTATACCTATTAGATATCATGGTATATCATGGTATATCTAGATCTTTCATACCTGAGATATTTCTAGATGTATTCTAAGGATTTCTAAGGTTCGTATTTTAGGAGATGTTGGGGTGGAAGGTTCCCAGTTTAGGGGTCAAAGATGGTGTGACTTCCCTGGTGCAAAGTTGGCAGGGATATCCTTGTCATATTGGCAGTGGAGGTCAAAAGTTGAGTGTCCTTCAAATCTCTTGTGAAGGTGTCCCGAAACCTATTTGAACAGGCTGCTAAACTGGAACTATTGTTTTATGGAGCGCACCATCCTTCCAACAACTCAGATGGAAGCCCCAATGACGGACTTGGAAGATGATGTTCCGACCAGAAAATGGGAAGCTTAAACTGATGTTCCCACATTTCCCATGGACATTTTTCCTGGTGATTTCTGGCGGGTTTCATCTCAAGTTTCCAGCAGGCCGATCAATCTCCCACAGCAGAAACAGCGTCGTCGTGCCGTGGCACATCGTGGCACCTTCACGCGTCCCAGGGCTGTGGTGTACAGCGAGGTGCCATCAGGCTTACCAACCTCAGGGGCTGAATGTTTGTAACCAGACCCTGGGAAAAATGTATAGAAACCCCGACAAAGATAGACAAGTGTGTGGAAATATACTGGGTGTTATCTATAGATGATATTTGCCAAACAGATTTCCAAGTGTCCCACTTTTCGATCTTTTTGGGGGGTACTTTGATCAGAAGGACCTTTTGGAGATGTCTGAATCTTCAGTTTCGTCCTCTGACGGCCCCAGCAGTTCTCTCAAAGTCTTCTACAGCCTGCACATCGAGCTGCCCTAAGGGGGCATGCACTGCTGGAGAATGTTCCTGGAGGGAGATGACAAAGAGAAATGGAGATTTTTTACCAGCAAAAAATGGAATGATACCTTCTGGTAGCCAAACATGGCAGCAACTTTCCCAGCAGCAACTGGCCTTCTGCACCGTGGCCACTGTGGCGGTCACAGCCTTGAAACACACCCTTTGGCGCCACTACCAACCCTGTCAGAAGGATTTGATCACTGGAAAATCAAAATAAACCCCAAACCAAAGGATTGTACAACCAATCCATTTTGGAAGATCCAACTGAGAAACGGAAGTAAACAAGTACGAAAAGGATCACGCGCACATGCAAAATCGGGGAGTTCTGGGCAAATTCTTGCCCAAAATCCCATGGAATTGATCATCACAATTTATCATTAAATTTGTTCCATTGATATTGTTCCATTAATCATTCAAATTAGTTTATCATATTACCCTCTGGTAATTTAACATAGCAATGGAAAATCACCACCATGCTATTCATGGGAAAACTCACTAGAAATTTCTATGGCCATGTTCCATAGCAAACTGTTAGTTCACCAGAGGGTACATCATTAAAATGGTTCCATTAATTCAATGGATTGGTTTAAGGGAAAATCTTAACCGGAAACCCATGGGTTTTTACCATCATTTATATAGGGTTTTCCGGTTAAAATTTTCCCATCATCCAATTCTATGATTAAACCACCATAATTAATAGATCCATCATCCATATTTTAAATTTATTGTTCCATTAATTAATAGATCCATAAATAGATGGCATCCCATACCATCCCCACCATAAATTGGGGCTCCCCTGCTTCGGTGGCCGAAAAGCCCAGCGCAGCAAAGTGATGGGCCTCGCGAGCCGCTGGGCCAAGCCCAAGCGGGCAACCGCAACCGGCCATCAGGGTCCAAAAACATGGAAAATCCTAGAAAAAAATATGAAAAAATGGATGATAACTTGATATAACTTGATAACTAGGGGGTAAACCCAGTAAACCCCCAAATGGATTTTTGATAACACCTGCATTTTTTGGGGACCTACCTGGAGGGTGTACAGACCCTATGGCCCTATGGTTTGCCCGCAAGCTTAGAATGGAGTTCAAAATATTATCCTTCGACATGCTCAGAAACCTGCGCATTGCCAGTGTTTTGGTATTTACCAGACGACGAAGCCTAAACCCTAAAACCCTAAAGCCCTAAACCCTACAACCCTGAAGACTCTGAATCCGAAAGCAGAGTATGCGCAGTATTTTCTGCAATTTCTCTTCTCATGTTCGACGACAGGGAATCCTCAATGCTGCAGTCCGGGCAAACCACGGGGGTCTGTGCGTAACATTATCCCACATATAACATTACGTATATCCCAGACAACATTATCCAGATGTCGCATCATGAGAGAATAGATATCATATAACTTTATCCATTGTGATTACTTGGACGTGCTCAAGGAACCTTCCAAAAAATATACACCATTCCCTATAGATTCCCCAAGTAGCAAATGTCCCATTAGGAAAATAAAAAACATCTTCAGACGTCCAGGATTGTCAATATTTCGGCATGAAAAGCCTCCATTCATAGTGGATATTCCACGATGTTCCCATATTCCCATATTTTTCCCATGATTATATAATTAAGGTGGACATCATATGAATCATAAAACATAATCCATTGTGATTACTTGGATTTGCTTAAGGAACAACCCAAACAAAACAAAAAGTATGCCTAATATTCCCTTAATCGATTCCCCATTCATACCCCAATCTATATCCCATTAAATCACCATTAAAATGGATGTTCCCATTATATATTCCCCAATATATTGGTTTACCTCCACTAAAACCTTCATTTACAATGGATTTTCCCATGATTGTTGAAAATCACCATGATATCACCATTAAAATCACCACTAAATATATCATTGTCCCATTGTACATCCTTATTCCCAATATCTTCTTGATTCATACATTTCATACTGGATTTCCCCAGGGATCTTCCCATGAGTTTCCCATCCCCCGTGCCCAGTCCACGTCCCCCGGGTCCCCCAGGTGCCCCGGACGGCTTTTGCCACACGCCGCAAGGCCCGCTCCCGCGGATCGCTGATTGCGCTGAGCTCCTCGGCCGTCGCCTGGGACGGATGGCCATGGCTGGTTCGACTGGGAAAAATGGTGAAAGTGGTGATTGTTTGTGGGAAAATCTCGGGAAAAGGATGGATTTTATGGGACTTTTCATGGGAAAATCCATGGAAAATGGTGGAGAGATGGGAATTGTATGAGATCTATGGAAAATGATGCTTTTTGATGCTGATTTTGTGGTGATGTTCTTGAATTTCTTGTGGGAATATCCATGGAAATATCCTGAAATATCATGAGGATTTTAACCATCAAATTGTAGGGCTTTGGGACAGCAGATGTCGGAAATTTAACATCAAAGATGGAGAATTGGGATTCATGGAATGTAATAAGTAATATCTATAGAAAGCCCATGAATGTACCTGAAGCATCAAAAATTCGTTAATTTGACAACAACAACTTCTTATTTAAGATGAATATTGTGGGATTGTAAACTGCCAAATTCCACTATCGACATGCCAAGGATTTGGGCCAAGATTGAACCTGTCTGCATGCTTCGAAAATTTGTTTAAGGGAAACTTGATACTACCCCCCACAAATTGTTGAGTCTTTAAACAACTTACTGCAGTTAATGTTTCGTAGATATTCCCTTCAAATACAGTAGTTCAGTGAATGTTGACTCTTTTGTGCTTGAAACCAGCCACAACCTCCAAGAATCACATTGGATGGTCCATATCTGATCAGTTCTGATCTTTTTCGGCATGGGTCAAACCCCGAGCAGTATCCTGCTTCGCACCGTTTCGTAGCAGTATCTTCAAGCTCCATGTTCACATTGTTCATCCCAGCATGGAAAATCATCCATCTCACAGCCACCCCGTGCATCTCCACAAAAAAACGCTCCAGGTTACGCAGCTTTTTCTCCGCAAGCAATCCACGCAATCGGTTTCGGCCATACGACCCAGTAGCTTCCTGCTCAGTAGCCACAGGACTTGTCCACCTGATCCTTGAAGGTCGTGAAGTTGGGGGATCTGAAATCGGTCAACTTCTGCACGAAGATGTCCCAAGTTTGACTCATGTACCTGGGCCACCATGCCCACCATGGCCACCATGGCCATCGGGAAAGACATGGATAGACCATTTATCAAGCGGCGAGGTTCCGATGGTTACCTTCGACCTCAACCAAGGAGCCCTGTTTTACAAGGATAGCTTGGAGCTTTCCTAGTGACTTTTGGAAGGGATCTGATCAGTGCAACTCTTTCATCTCACTAGATTACCCTCTGGTAAACTAACATAGCTATTGAAAATGGCCAGTTATAGTGAGTTTTCCCATTAAAAATGGTGATTTTCCATAGCTATGTTAGTTTACCAGAGGGTAAGTTGAAAGTTGAAAAGTCTCTTGTTGGTGGTTACCCAACCCCAATTGAACGGCTTATCAAAATAAAGATCATCATCCCATTCCTGTACGGAAAATCATACCAAGATTTGAAACCACCAACCAGTCTTTTAGTGGTAAAACATGGTACCCTCTGGTAATTTAACGTAGCTATGGGAAATCACCAATTTTAATGGGAAAATCCACTATTTCTATGGCCATTTTCAATAGTTATGTTAAATTACCAGAGGGTAAAACATGGTAAAACCCAGGGGCGTTGGAGTGAGGTCAGCGTTGTGCGGGCTCAGCAACAGATTTTCCATGTCCCACAGCGGTGATTCCGGCGACAAAGGCTCCTGGAGGGCAGTGTGTTCGAAGGGGGAGGGCCAACGGAAGGGGGGTATCATTGGTACCCTCTGGTAATTTAACATAGCTATTGAAAATGGCCATTTATAGTGGATTTTCCCATTAAACATGGTGAGTTTCCATAGCTATGTTAGTTTACCAGAGGGTATGTCAAGGGAAAAAAACATCCGGAAACCAGGGCTTTTTTGCCAACAAATCTGAGTTCCGTGGAGTTCCTATGTTTCACTTGAACCAAATTTGAGCTGAAGGAATCACGGATGTTGGCTATGGAAAATAAATGATAGAATATTATTACAGATCTCAAATGGGATACCACCCGGCATTGTTCATCCTCCATGTTGGTGAACTAACAGCAATCTTCTGGAGTATCCATTTGCGATTGGTGGCTTCAAACTTTTCCACAGCTTTCATGTCAATTGAAGTCATCACCCAGGGAGGACGTAACTTCCAACAATGAAACCAGATGACCAAGTGCCTCACCCCAGCTCCAGAAACCTGCTGTCCTTTTCGAAAACATCCAAGGCAGCCCCCAAGATCTTTTTGCTTTTCAGCCTCATCTCTTGGAGCATCACTTGAAAAAAGGTGAGGCTCTCATGGAAATCATCCTGCAGTGTGAAGTGTGAAAGTCACGTTTGTTTTTTTAGGCGGTGTATGATTTTCGAATTCTACAGATGTGTTCCATGTGATGGTCTGGATATGTCATTTGATTTCTATGTACATTCCCTCAAGTGCTTCCAAGCCGCACTTCCAGAAGGGCCGTTTCATCTACGCAGGAGCCTGGTTTCTGGAGATATCCCAACATTTGGAGGTTCCTAACCATGGGGGTACCCCAGGTTATCATCCAAATTTGGTTATCAACGGGAAACCCCAATGGTTTCGGGGCACCCACAATTTCAGGAAACCAACATTTGGAGATGGTCGACATCAGCTGATGTAGTCAAACTCCTTGGCTTCATTGCGATGGTGAGTGCCTCATATTTCCCTTGGCCAGAGCCACAATTTGATGATTAAGTCCTATGTGTGTGTGGTGCTACAATCTTCGTGATTGACATTGAAAAACCTGAAATGAGTTGCTGAATGTCGATTTTTGATGTCAATCCCGCATCAACAAACCCAGAATAATTAGATTGTACCCGCGCAAATAGTCATGATTACCCTCCGGTAAACTAACATAACCATGGAAAATCACCATGTTTGATGGGTAAATCCACTATAAATGGCCATGTTCAATAGCTTTTTGTATGTTTACCGAGGCTAGTCATGTCATGTCCTACCAAAATGGTACCGCCCAAATCAACAGCTCAACCTGTCCGCGACTCCTCACCTCGCCCAATCGAAATAAAGACAGCCGTCGGCTTCATTACCTTCGACGGTTGGCGTTCCAATTTCTGGTCCTAAACGTAGGGAATGGGTCATAGAATTGGATGATGGGAAAATTTGCAGGAAAGCCCTATATTTGATGGTAAAAACAATGGTTTCCTGTAGATTTCCCCTTAAACCAATCCAATGAATGGGGGAATGATATAATCCATAAGTATGAACAATCATCACGTTCCCCCATTCCCTACTTCAGCACTAAGTTTTGAAGGATTGAACAGTACAGCCGTGGAAGAAATGGGATCTCAACCCAGAAAGACGCGACCGAAATAGGAACATCAACCGAACTTAAACCCCTGGTGAAGGAATTACGATCATTCCTGCCACTACTCCTAATGTGGTAAACCCAATGCCATAACACAGCCCAACGTTTCACCATTTTTGATGGGTTGGTATTTTTACCATCCCCAAATGGTAAGTTTATGGCATTGGGTTTGCCACATTATTCCAAATATCCATTCTTCATCCATTAAAGTTAGTTATACAATCATTATCAACCATTCATTATGAACCATTATATAGCCATTGTCTACCACCATGTTTGATGGTTGAAAACCCATATTTGATAGTTAAATATTAACATATATATATATACCCTTTGGTTATTTAACAATGATCCATTTATAGATGATTTATGATGATTTACCTTTTAAAAATGGTGATTTCCCATAGCTATGTTAAATAACCAGATGGTATATAAATTAACCATTATAAATTATAAACCATTATGAAATATGCTGTGTATTGCTGTGTCATGCTTTTGGCTGTTTGGGGACAAGTTGTCTCAAGGCAAATTTCTTGCACGCCCTGCCCCCCCCCTGCATCACTCGTGGTGATTTATCTGGACTCTCTAAGAAAGCCTTGAATCTATCTTCATCTACCCTCTGGTAAACTAACATAGCTATTGAAAATGACCATTTATAGTGGAATTTCTCATTAAACATTGTGATTTTCCATAGTTATGTTAGTTTACCAGAAGGTATCTTCTAAACACCAAGATTTGGAAGAACTTGAGAGTCAACACCAAGATTTGGAAGATCTCTCTTGGAATATCTTGCTGTGAAATCGGTGTTCAATGATTTTCGAGCCCCCGCAGACTGAATGGGCGGCCCAAGGAACAGCAAATTCTGCTGCCTCGGTGCCAATGCAATGACACCCCAGCCCATCACGAACATTCTAAACCTCTGACCATCACAATGATCATCAAAACCCAGAAGAAAAGCAACAGTAAATGATCCGTACTAATAATCAATGATAATTACTGATAATGGCGGTCACCACACTTTACACTTGACACTGGGCACTCTACACTTCACACTTCAGACTCTGACTCTACACTTTACAGTATTTACACTTCACGCATTACACTTGACACCACGCACTCCACACTCTATACTTCTCACTCCACACCCTACACTTTACACTCCACACTTCGCACTTGATACTCCACACTCTACACTTTACACGATGATCGTACTGAAACTTTTCCCTGGGTAGTTCACACAATATTTGCGATAATAGTAATGGTAATGAATTGATCCTCATCATCGTCATCAAAATCACAGCAATGTGATTGATAAAAAATGCTGAACGTAGTACTGATAATAATACTGATAGTGATACTGATAATATTACTGATCCTTGTGACAGTAATTAATTAGTAGTCGGAATAGTGAATCCTCATCCTCATCAGTCACCATGATCGTCCGTATCCATATTACAACTACTATTTGATCGAATTGCTATTAAAAATCAATATCTACTGAGTGGTTTCAACCACCTGAAAAAAATGGTTGGGATCATGCTCCCAAACTGGATTGAAAATAACACGCGGTTGAAACATGTTGAAACCACCAACCAGTTATCCCGATGAATTCACCACTGGTTTAGTTGGTTCCCAGCTCCCCTGCTAAGAGATTTACTCCTAAATGGTTATGTATACCATTCAAGAAAAAAGCTAAAAGTCTAAGGGAACTGGGAACCACCATTACCCTCCGGTCATGAAACATGGCTTGCTGGAAATTTCCTCAATTTACTTGGATGATTTTCTTGTTTATATAGACCTCTATTTATAGTGAAAATCCAGCCATCCAAGGTTTATTATCAGAGGAATGTTCCATTAGTCACCATTAATATTAACCATTATTAACCACAATTAACCACATTTAACCATTATTACCCTATAAACTAATTACCATAGATGCCGAAAATCCACTATTTCTAGATTCTTTAAGGAAACCCATGGTGTTTTCCACATCTTTTTCTATGTTTACCCCAGGGTAAGCATCATTTTTGTCCGTCATCTTCCAGGCACAAGGCACTCCACAGGCGTGATATGTCGCCTCACCACCTGGCAGTGAACAGATCACGAAGTCCGACTGCTCAAAGACCTCCTGTCTGGTCCGGTGATCACTTGGGTCCCCATGGGATGAATATTCAATGGCCATGCAACAGGAACCGATTGATTGGAAGTACCTACAGTAACATATATAAGGCCTATGTTTTTGGGCTATGTAAGGGGATATACCCCCAAAATATGGCCTTGTATGGTGGTACAGTACCTCCAATTTAGGATCCTGAAATTACCAGTGAAATATGGAGCATAAGTCATGTTCATACTATGCTTGGTTTATGACCCAACAAGACCCAATAAGTTGGTGGAAATAACATGTATAACCCCAAACAAAATACGATCGATACGAAAATGATATGAAATGACATATCTACTATAAACTCTATGAACCATAGATAGAAGACCTTGGCAAATCAACCAACTTAGCTATCCTTTGGGGCCCCCAGTATGGTAGTTCATAGCTTTTGATCCGTTCCCAAATGCTTTTGGGATGATCCCATCATTCGAGGCGGGGCTGTCCCATTAAATCCCATGAATCGAATCTTTCATTCATCCCATTCATATCAACCCCCTTATATCATTCATATCATTAATATCATATCCCCACGAAAAAAAAAAAAAACATGTCAATCCCATGCAAATTTCACATCTCATCAAACTCCAGGTTTTTCAACCCTCCAACCCCATCCCCATCTCCATCTCCTGTTTGGCTTGGGGTCCATCACTGGCATACGTCACCCGATCTGCCAAGTCGTTCCCCGGCAGCCCCTGGCGATTCCGCCAGGCCAGGACCTGCAGCCCCAGGGCACGACAGAGCCGGGCCGTGTGCTGGGCGATGTCGCCAAAGCCTGGGGTGAACAAACTGAACAAACTGGGGGGATTTCACCATTGAAAGTGGGGATTTAGTATGATTTAACATGATTTAATATGATTTAAGGTGAATTAATATGGCCTGGCATGATTTAATGTGATTTAACTGGCAATACATGTTGAAAATGATGATTTAACCAGCAAAGATTGGAATTCAACCATGATACATATATTCCATAGGGATTTAGCCGTGAAAACATGGGAATTTAATCCATTAAGATTTAGGATGGTATAAAAACACATATCTGGGGATTCAGCCCATAGAAGTGGATGATTTGAAGGAATATCTGAAGGTAACCAGCAAACATATTCAACAGTGGTCTAGTAAGCACTATATTGTTCTATCGTAAAAATCATTTGAAAGAAACACAATAATTTTTAAAAAAATGTTGGGGAAATCACTGTTTCACCTGTTGGTTAAGATCATTTCATATCCCGCATAAAGTGGCTTCTTTCATGGGGTGCTCACCCATATTGTTGATGGGATGCACATCCAGAAACCAATGAATCCACAGGTCTTGCCGTGCACTTCGTTCATGATGAACTTCTCCCAGTTGCGACTGACCCGATTTGCCTCCAGGTCGGGAGATATCAGATATATTCAATACACATTGGCAACACAGCTAAAATCTGAAGGGGAGTCCTTTCCATCTGGGGATCATACCCCTATGATCGCGTCCCCCACAGAATAAGCCCCGGCCCTGGTATGTTTTTGGTTACTAGCTTGCTAGCAAACGTCCAATCCCGGCCACAAACACACTTACATCAGCATGCAAAGAAACTGCGAGCACCCTGGCTTTGGGGCCGCTCCACCATCAAAATGGGCGCACAAACCATCGACGTTGCGACAATCTCTTGTGACTAGTCCCAGAATGTCCCATAATAAATGCCAAGAAACTGTTTGAGTCGCTCCCCTTTTTGTCGATTATACTTGATTATACCAGCCCCGATTTGTTGGTGAAATCCCAATGGTTTCTCCGCGGGATCCCGAAAGAATGTCAACCCCCACAGAACTTGTTGGCCAACATCCGGTTGTATTCGAGTACCACAAATCCAGGATGTTCAAAACCAAAATCATCAGAAGCTCTGGGCCCTAAACCTCAAACATGTGTTGGCTCATGTTGGCTCCAAAATTGAGTATCATCAAATTGTTAGGCTTCAATCTTCAACAGTCCCAATCTTTCTTACCCCCCAATAGATTGGCCATCTCATCCCAGCAAACTAGGTAGTATAACCCCCTAAAATAACAAATCAACCATCATTTGTGAACTACATAGATCAAAAAAGCTCACCTGAAGCCCCTATTCTTGGTTGAAGCCCTACAAATAAGGAATCCTGGAAGATGATATTTCAGGAAAGATTTTGAAAGATTGACCCCACCTGAAGCCTTGTGATCTGCTTGTTGAAATGCATCATGGCGGCCACCGCGTACTCCGCCAGGGACCGCGAGAAGGCGCCCTTGGCGTTGGTCAACGGCACCGCTTGGGCCTCGTCATCCAGCTGCTGAAGCACCGGCACCAAGGTGTCGACCCCGGCGGCCAAGGAGTGAATCCAACGCACCTGGGCCTGGCACGCGGGCGTAAGGAGAAGTTGAGGAGATATACAGGGGTATTTATTTATGCATAGATATATATATAATAAGATATATATATATAATAAGTTATAAGATATCCGCCGACCCCGGCCGACAGCAAGGGGGAGCGCGTCAGGGAAGAGAGGTTGTGGACAACAACAAATACAACAACGGGTCTTGGGAAGCTTTCCAAAGAGCTGGAAATTTGTGTTTTTAAACTAGGGTTTCAGAAGGGACGTTCAGCCTCGTGGATTATCATTGCAGGGCACCATTCCGTCCCTCAGTGCCATGGTGTTTTCCTGTCCGGGAGGTGCATTTTTTTAAGGCAATTTGCTGGCTAAAAGATGTGGCAAGCAGTTGCAGCAGCCGCAGCAGAAGCAGCGCAGCAGCAACAACCAAAGTAGCAGCCGAGCAGCTTACAGCAGGAGCAGGGCAGCAGGAAGGCCATGTGGACAAGTTGCCAAGAGCTGCCAAGAGCTGGAAATTTGTGTTTTTTAACTAGGGTTTCAGAAGGGACGTTACGCCCCGTGGATTACCATTGCAGGGCACCATTGGTGTGTGTTCCCGTCCAGGAGGCTGGTCAGCAGCATCAGCAGCTGCCGAAGCCAGCACACCAAAAGCAGCGGAGCAGCAACAACCGAAGTAGCAGCCAAGCAGCTTACAGCATGAGCAGGGTAGCAGGAAGGCCATGTGGACACAGTTGTCAAGAGCTGCCAAGAGCTGGAAATTTGTGTTTTTTAACTAGGGTTTCAGAAGGGACGTTAAGCCTCGTGGATTATCATTGCAGGGCACCATTCCGTCCCTCAGTGCCATGGTGTTTTCCTGTCCAGGAGGTCGTTTTTTTAAGGCAATATGTTAGCTAAAAGCACACCAGCAGGAGGAGGGGCTTGTAGCAGGAGCAGCAGCAGCAGCAGCAGGAAGCAGCGCAGCAGCAACAACCGAAGTAGCAGCCGAGCAGCTTACAGCAGGAGCAGGGCAGCAGGAAGGCCATGTGGACACAGCTGTCAAGAGCTGCCAAGAGCTGGAAATTTGTGTTCTTTAACTAGGGTTTCAGAAGGGACGTTAGGCCTCGTGGATTATCATTGCAGGGCACCATTCCGTCCCTCAGTGCCATGGTGTTTTCCTGTCCGGGAGGTGCATTTTTTTAAGGCAATTTGTTGGCTAAAAGATGTGGCAAGCAGTTGCAGCAGCCGCAGCAGAAGCAGCGCAGCAGCAACAACCAAAGTAGCAGCCGAGCAGCTTACAGCAGGAGCAGGGCAGCAGGAAGGCCATGTGGACACAGTTGTCAAGAGCTGCCAAGAGCTGGAAATTTGTGTTTTTTAACTAGGGTTTCAGAAGGGACGTTAGGCCTCGTGGATTATCATTGTAGGGCACCATTCCGTCCCTCAGTGCCATGGTGTTTTCCTGTCCGGGAGGTGCGTTTTTTTAAGGCAATATATATATGTTAGCTAAAAGCACACCAGCAGGAGGAGGGGCTTGTAGCAGGAGCAGCAGCAGCAGCAGCAGGAAGCAGCGCAGCAGTAACAGCCAAAGTAGCAGCTGCAGCAGCTTACAGCAGGAGTAGGGCAGCAGGAAGGCTATGTTGATACAGTTTTTTCTACGGCTTCAGACGACATGTTAGGCACTTTTTGGGCTGCATTTTGTCGCTGTTCCGTCCTTCACTGCCACTGTGTTTCCCCGTCCAGGAGCCACGTTTTGGGACTCGGCGCAGCAGTAGCAAGAGTAGCAGCAGTAGCAGCAGCAGAGGCAGCAGCAGCCGCAGCAGCAGCAGCAGCAACAACAAAAGTAGCAGCCGAGCAGCTTACAGCAGGAGCAGGGCAGCAGGAAGGCCATGTGGACACAGCTGTCAAGAGCTGCCAAGAGCTGGAAATTTGTGCGCTTTAACTAGGGTTTTAGAAAGGACGTTAGGCCCTGTGGATTACCATTGAAGGGCACGATTGATGTGTGTTCCCGTCCAGGAGGCTGGTCAGCAGCATCAGCAGCTGCCGAAGCCAGCACACCAAAAGCAGCGGAGCAGCAACAACCGAAGTAGCAGCCAAGCAGCTTACAGCATGAGCAGGGTAGCAGGAAGGCCATGTGGACACAGTTGTCAAGAGCTGCCAAGAGCTGGAAATTTGTGTTTTTTAACTAGGGTTTCAGAAGGGACGTTAAGCCTCGTGGATTATCACTGCAGGGCACCATTCCGTCCCTCAGTGCCATGGTGTTTTCCTGTCCAGGAGGTGCGTTTTTTTAAGGCAATATGTTAGCTAAAAAGCACACCAGCAGGAGGAGGGGCTTGTAGCAGGAGCAGCAGCAGCAGCAGCAGCAGGAAGCAGCGCAGCAGCAACACCCGAAGTAGCAGCCGAGCAGCTTACAGCAGGAGCAGGGCAGCAGGAAGGCCATGTGGACACAGCTGTCAAGAGCTGCCAAGAGCTGGAAATTTGTGTTCTTTAACTAGGGTTTCAGAAGGGACGTTAGGCCTCGTGGATTATCATTGCAGGGCACCATTCCGTCCCTCAGTGCCATGGTGTTTTCCTGTCCGGGAGGTGCATTTTTTAAAAGCAATTTGTTGGCTAAAAGATGTGGCAAGCAGTTGCAGCAGCCGCAGCAGAAGCAGCGCAGCAGCAACAGCCAAAGTAGCAGCTGCAGCAGCTTACAGCAGGAGCAGGGCAGCAGGAAGGCCATGTGGACACAGCTGTCAAGAGCTGCCAAGAGCTGGAAATTTGTGTTCTTTAACTAGGGTTTCAGAAGGGACGTTAGGCCTCGTGGATTATCATTGCAGGGCACCATTCCGTCCCTCAGTGCCATGGTGTTTTCCTGTCCGGGAGGTGCGTTTTTTTTAAGGCAATATATATGTTAGCTAAAAGCACACCAGCAGGAGGAGGGGCTTGTAGCAGGAGCAGCAGCAGCAGCAGCAGCAGGAAGCAGCGCAGCAGTAACAGCCAAAGTAGCAGCTGCAGCAGCTTACAGCAGGAGTAGGGCAGCAGGAAGGCTATGTTGATACAGTTTTTTCTACGGCTTCAGACGACATGTTAGGCACTTTTTGGGCTGCATTTTGTCGCTGTTCCGTCCTTCACTGCCACTGTGTTTCCCCGTCCAGGAGCCACGTTTTGGGACTCGGCACAGCAGTAGCAAGAGTAGCAGCAGTAGCAGCAGCAGAGGCAGCAGCAGCCGCAGCAGCAGCAGCAACAACAAAAGTAGCAGCCGAGCAGCTTACAGCAGGAGCAGGGCAGCAGGAAGGCCATGTGGACACAGCTGTCAAGAGCTGCCAAGAGCTGGAAATTTGTGTTCTTTAACTAGGGTTTCAGAAGGGACGTTAGGCCTCGTGGATTATCATTGCAGGGCACCATTCCGTCCCTCAGTGCCATGGTGTTTTCCTGTCCGGGAGGTTCGTTTTTACGGCAATTTGTTGGCTGAAAGATGTGGCAAACAGTTGCGGGGTGCAGAGGTGGCAAACAGGTCCAGATTCAAAACCCACTCGCTCTGAAATATCAGCTAGCAAAAATAGGCCCGGGGTCGGCGGCAGGGGCGGCAGCCCTTAGATAATTATGTGTAAAGATATAACATGTATGTATACATATATATATATATATACATATTCATATAGATACATATGCATCTAAGATGATATAAGCGGGAGAGTGAGAGAGAGAGCGGAAAGGAAGAGATATATTCTTAGATGAAATGCGATCGGATTAGGTTTCAATTGAGATTTCAGTATGTTGATGGTGATAGGGTTGAAAGATAGATGCATGGATGGATGGATGGATGGATGGATGGATGGATGGATGGATAGATAGATAGATAGATAGATAGATAGATTTGGACACATAACACATACCAATATGTTTTTTCCTAGCTAATCTTCGATACCCTTTTGAAATTTGAAGCAAGTTTAATATTCTTCGCTTCAGAAACCCCTTTTTTTACCCGCGGTAATCCTCCGGAAACAAAAAGCGGCAACCCCAATTAGTTTCACCCCCCAGACCAAGGTTTGCTGGTGTTCAAAATAGTTTGTAGATATTTCGTGATACCCTCTGGTAAACATCACCATAACTATGGAAAATCACCATTTTATAGCTAGGTAAACCATCTATTTCTATGGGCCATTTTCCATGGCTATGTTAAATAACCAGAGGGTATGATATTGATTTAGGAATGTAGAACCACAGTGGCCAAAAAGCACTACAAAAACATGCAACAAACATTTCAAACAACACCGTCCGTCGTGTGGTATGCTTAATTGAAACTTTGAGTCAGTAGCTCCTTTAACAAATAAATAGATGTCGATATGATTTTCCGTGATTTTCCATATATATATATATGATCATCTATATATATACTATAATATATATATATATACAGTTATCCCCACCTATCCTCTTCTCCATCCATTCTTGCCAGACCATCCAAGCTCCGGCCATGCATCACCGCGCCTTCAGCTGCGGCCACAGCTCCGCAATCACCTGCGGGTTTCCGCCGGCGAAGACGGCCAGCACCAGCACGTCGACTTCGGCCAATTTCGGCGAGGAGGTAAAGTCCTCCAGGCAGTTGCCGAAGATGCACTGCGACGTCCTTAGACGGGAAGGAAAAAGGGCCGATGGCCATGCCAATGATCTATGGCAGATAGATAGATAGATAGATAGATAGATCGATCGATGGATGGATGGATAGATAGATGGATGGATGGATGGATAGATAGATAGATTCATAGATAGATAGATTCATAGATAGATAGATTCATAGAGATTTAAATAGAACACATCGGAGTTCATCCGGGGGAGGCCATAGGTGCAAAATATTGACAAAAGGATCTGACAAATTCTATGGCTGTCTTTGTTTAATAATTTGAGATAATTTCAGTAGTCGTCACATTGATGTGGATTCAGCTTTCCTGGTCGATGGTGACGCCGGATCGCTCCAACCAACAGAATCCAAGAGTCTCTGTCGCATCTGTTTCAGTCACCAGTTGCACCAAGGCTTTTCCATTGGGCGTGGTCGTATCCGCAATGAAGGCCAGCACGGCCATGTCATTGCTTAAAGTACTTGATCCAGAACGGCTCAGAATATCGTTGCTGACCCCCTGTCCTGCGACTCCGCGAGCCAACAGGTCGCGTCGCGGAAGCGCAAAAGCGCAGATCCAACCCGTGGAAAGGTGAGAAAAACAGCTCCAACCCAAGATACCCAGGACCCAAGCGCCCCAACCGCCCCAGAGACCGAAGGAACGCTTCATCACTCGAGCCACAGGCCCAGGCATGTGGATCGGCTCGACATCTCTAGCTTCACACTTCACTCAAAAAATATGATTCATCAAACTATTCAATTATTCCCCCAAACAAAAAACTCCAAACCAGAAAGCTGACTTTGTTTCACCAATTAATGTGGGTTTGATGATTTATCCCCTTAAATCCCGTTAATTAATATCAAGGTCCCTTGATTCTTTCCCCCATGGCACAGCCCCGTCTCCAGGTGCCCCAACACTGCAGCCGCTCAGCACATCCCCAGGTTTGCCCTCGAAATCTAAGGGTGCGTATTCCTGGCGCGACAGAGCCAAGATGAGGCAGTCGCAACCGGAGCATGGCAAAACATGATCAAAATGCTATGGGTGTATGTATTATATAACATATGTAACATACCAGGAATACATATTAACATGTATAATCCCAAATGTTCTCACTGCAATGCAAGTTTTGTTCCGTATACTGGTTTTAATCCCCAACATCCATTTAAAACAAAGAGTCATGAAAACCCATCACAAGCCCCATGAAAACCCCATAAATCCCATAAAATCCCCACATCATTTGCCCCGGCAGCTCCAGCCTTTAACCTCCGCAGGCGTTCTAACTTCACCACATCTGCTAAGGCCTGCCCCGAGGGGCCACCTCGAAACTTGGAGATGAGATGCTTCGTTAGACGTTAGAGTTTCAATCCTTAAAACAGATGGCTCAAGGCTCAAGAAAACACAGAGTCACTTTTGGAGATACAAGTGATATAAGTCAATGAATTGGTTTTTGTTGCTGTTTAAAGCCTATGAAACTCCCATGAATCATCATGAATCCCATTAAAAAATGATGATAATCAGCATACGGCTGGGTTCCCCACCACCTACCAAGAGGCGGATCTTCCAGGGGTCCTTGGGCCTGAGTTTTCGGCGATGGGGAAAATGTGGAGGAAACCCATAGTTGATTATTGGGTTGGCAAAATTGCTCAAAATGTGTCAGACCGTACTGAATTCCTGTGATGGTTGTTCCTTAGGGCAATTCTGGGAAGGAAAACCGAGATGTAAATAGAACCACCAGCTTAATACCAGCTTCACACAATGTCAACTGTTAAGCCAAGATGAGAGAAGCTTTAGTTTCAGTCAACATTAGGCAAGTTTCAGAGAGTTTCAGACTGGTTCCATGTTGTCAAATCCTCACATAGGTAGTAAGTTCTGAGCTAAAAGTATAGGGTATATTAGGTATATGTAGCCCCTCATGACACAGAATTCCTACTTGGATCCACCCAGTCATTGTTGGTTTATCCTCTACACCCCATTTGGATGAACCCTGAAATGAGTATCAATGCTCATCGAAATATTGCCATTGGATTGGTCTAAGGAAAAAGTTGCAGGAAATGAAACCCCTATATTTGATGGTAAAAACATGTAAAAACCATGCTTTCCGGTTCAGATTTTTCCCAGCAAAATCAATCCGTTGATATTGATCTTCCTTTGTGGCTAGGGTTTTTTCTCGAAGTGACAGATCAACCCACCCTGGACGTCACCATTTCCAGACCCCTGGGCTCTCGCGATGGGGCGGCAAGCCCGTCGCCACTCGGTTTCGGCGGGGTGCACCTTAAACTTCAAGCATCCACAGCAGCGATGATGTCACGACAAGCTGAGAGCCCCACATCACTGCCCTGCAATTTCCAACATTGGCTACCTGGGCCACGAGAGAACACCCCCGGGCATTGCATCGGGTTGACTCACAGGATTCTTCAGGATGCTTCGCAAAACAAGATGGGACTGGCTGGTTGATCTTGGCAAATGACAAGAAACGCCGTATGTAACAAACGTCCCTCTCCTTCAAAAAGAAAGACTAGGAAAAATGCAGCTGAAAAAAATAAGCGGGGAAAAAAAGATGCGAATGTATTCAAACTGCAACATGAATCTCTTGTTGGCAAAATGTGGAGCAGTATATACTTGTGATGAAAAAACAACTTTGGCACAACTCCCAAGACAGATGGGCCAAGGCAATTCCCATCATGCGAGTTTAGATGTGGCATCAAACCTGGCACACTCAGATCCTAAATGTCTTGAAGCATCCCCCCCTTCCACCCCCAAACCTTGAAATCAAAGCCATTTCACGGGTTCCCTTGGACCCGGGTTGGAAACCCAAATGGGGGGTCAATCCCCCAGTTTCAGACACGCAAAAACATTCCCATTTTTTGGCTGGTTGTAAACACATTAATATAAACACCAATTCTTGTTGGTTCAACCACCAAAACATTGCAAAATCATGTCAAAAACATGGGGCTGCCCCGGCTAGGTCCATCCAATCTCAGGTAAAGCACCAGTACTCGCTGGCCAAGCACCAGCAGCAATGCCTTGGCGTTTCCAAACATCAAGCCGTTGTTCATGTGTTACAATGTGTGGACACCAAGATTGTTCTTAGTTTGTTCATTTGTTTTCCCAAGATTAAAACTAGGTAGATCTAAGTAGTAAAAACCCTGGATCAGCATCTATGTCACACTGGCCCTGGCCGGCCAGTCCAGGGCTCGGAGCGGTGGATTTCACGACTGAGGGAGGTAATCTGCTGAAAGGTTTCCCCAGAAACAGCAATCATAGGGTGTTGCATCCCAGGAATCACAAGTGATTCACGGCCATGCTTAATAATCCACCTATGGGATATCCTCTATTTCGGCTTACAATCCAGGTTCTAAGTGGGATGCACAATCAACTCGTGCATCATCTGCATCATTTACATGTTTTCTCAGGTCTTAGCGTGGCCATGCCCCCGAAACCGCCAGCGAACACTCAACACTACCTCTCCCCAGCCCAGAGTGTGAAATCCCTGGGCAGATCAACTCTGGGAGATGCTGTCCCCGGATAAATCATGGCTGTTCCATATATCCATGGCTGCGAAAAAGGCTAACCTCAGCAACTACCAACAAAAAGTACCAAAGACTGGTGCGAAAGCGACGCAGATGCCAAAAGATCCCAAAAGGATTTATACAAAATCTTACGGGTGTGTTTATGGGGCGTACAAATTCAGCTAGAGCGATGAAAAATACCCCTAACCCATCCCACTATACTGGTTGGTTAATAGGCAGCGGCATGTCCGATTAAGTGGGTAATACTAATAATAATGATAATAATCACCATAACCAATTCTGGTTGGTGGTTTCAACCATCTTGAAAAATATTAGTCAATGGGAAGGATTATCCCATATATTATGGAAAATAAAAATGTTTGAAACCACCAACCAGAATTATATTGTCCATTTCATTACAATCATACCGAGGTATTTTTGGCTGGCCACAGCAAGCCAGTGTCTCGACGGGAATCACTGAGCACCCAACGAGCCCACAGCCTGTGAGAGTGTTGTGATTTGGGGGAGGTCACAACTTTGGGGACTACTCCCCAAAAACATGATTTTATAGGATGTCTATTTGAGATTACAATGTGTATATATATATATATAATATATATATATATATAATGTATACCTGTGTATATATTAAATTCTGTATACATAGTATGGGATACGGGTATGCGATATTTATGGGATACTTGTAGGAGAAACTATGGTCCATAATTATATTGATGGAATAGAAATGGGATAACTATGATGGAATCACTATGGAATCACTATGGAATCACTATTGGAATAATATGGAATAATCATGGGCGATAGAAGCAACAAACAAGGATCCATGGGAGTTTAAGCGAACAAAATGCTAGCCTCTGCTAGACAGTGAAATTTGATGACATGTTTGGTTCATGTTTGGAGGAGTTGTGTATGATGATTTGGTGGACCATCAGTCAGGAATTTCTAACGGTATGACACATGTGCAGAATTGGGTGTGTCTGAAAATTGGGTATAGACCTCAATGGCCATCTGGATCGGAAACAATGATGAACTATAGTCTTGTGTTCATGCTACCACCCCGAAAAAACAATGGAACTACAAACGTGCACAAATAAGTGTTCAAGCAGAAAAAACGTACAAAAGGGTCAAACGACCACATGTTGACAAAACGTGCAAATTCAGCCAAACGCGCAGACATCTTCATTTCGATGGTTGGCAGTAAAGAATCTGGACCATTTGGTGGCAACCACGGTCACAAAACAGCGCAGCACCGCGCACAATTTTGCGCTCAATTTGGCGCAAACGAGCGCAATTTCAAAGAGTATCCAAGTTGGGTTTGCCAGCCATTCCAGCCAACATTCAAACTACGCGCACCTTCGTGCAAAACGCGCTCAAATTTAGCCGCAGCGCAGAAATTTCGCAAATGCGCACATTTCCACATTTCCAAACGCACGGAAAGTTGTGTTGATGTACGAGGTGTGTATATATTTATAATTATCTGCGTATCACATCATATCCTATTAATTCCTGTGAAATTCCATTCTATCCCACGTTTATATATATATGGGTATGGGTCAATACCTATTAATACCATTTTTAGTGGGATGAACATCCATTTACCAGCTATTTTGATGTGAACTACAGGGGTACCAGGTTTTGACACACTGCCATATACTGAGATACCGTATATCTGGCATAGGTTTCCGCGTTCACATCCACGTGAGGCCTGCATAGCGCGCGTTGCTGTCCAGCAAAGACTTCTCCAAGTCCTCAATGGCCTGCAGGTTTCGAGGTTTCCAGCTCAGCTGGGGGATGTACCACAAACCATGTTGATTTACCCTCTGGTAAATAAATAAATAAACATAGACCCTGGCAGATAGGGGTTGGAAGACTAGTTTCCATTAAAAATTAGTGATTTTCAGGGTCTATGTTTATTTACCAGAGGGTAGGCAAAAATGAGGAGTGACCCATGGGGGAACTATACAAAACCTGTATGAAAACCCAACAAAAATGAGGATTTAGCCATGAAAACTGAGAGTTCAGCATCAAACATAGTGGATGTTTCACCATTGTTCCGGGGTATGTAGGGGGTTTAACCAACAAAGTTATGGGGGGGTCTATAAACAACCATTTTGTGAGGATATAGTAGGATACACAACCAACTTGATATACCTTGATATGATATCTGGGTGGGCCCCCTAAAAACATGGCACTTTGTTCATCGGGAAATAGATGATCAAACGTCAAAATTTGCAATAGGCCGTTCAGATAAAGCCATCTTGGGATTCCTCAAGCAATGGTTAAGTGATATATCATTGCTCTTAAGTGATATATCATTGCTGTTATACGTATATCATTGATGTTAAGCGATGTAATATCATTTGCATATATGTACTTCACCATATGTGGCCGGTCGGGTCAACTTTTTTGTACCCACTTTGAATGGAGATGCGGGATGTTGTCCTTATCCATCCCACATCATTGGCAACTGGGGACCTTAAGTCCTCGGCACTGATCTTTTTTTTGCCTACCCTGCTTGAACAACCCTGCAATTAATAAATGTTGATACTCACTAGAATTTGTCTTGACAGCGCTTGTTTTTGAAGACAACAAGTGAATAAGTGAATTCTGTTATCCCCACAGTAAATATCAGTAAATTAAGATAGTCATGGAAAAATCCACCACTTGTAGTCCACTGCTATGTTGTATAATTTACCAGAGGGTGTCATAATTGTCCGTAACTATATTCCATATGTTGACCCATAATGGGAAGTCAGTCATTGTTTACATTTACCCTCTGGTAATTTAACATAACTATGGAAAATCACCACTTTTAATAGGTAAACCATCTATAAATGGACCATTTTCCATGGCTATGTTAAATAACCAGAGGGTAATTTAACCATTTTCCTATATTTTCCCGGTAGAGCGCGCACGTGGAACCCACGTATAAACTTTGCAGTAATGACCCCAGGACATCGGTCCACCTGGTTCACCATCTCCACCAGTTCGAAGTCCTCCGGCCTTGGTTTTAACATCAAGAATTGGGGGTGGTGGCTACCATGGTTTTACCCTCTGGTAAACTAACATAACTATGGAAATTCTGGGAAAACTCACTATAAATGGCCATTCTCAATAGCTATGTTAAATTACCAGAGGGTAACACATGCTAACATGTTAACATGTTAACAAACCGATCTTAACCATTTAACCGTCCTGAAATCACACCATGGGGATAGATAACCAATTTTTACATAATTAAGGGTATTGAACCGAGTTGACCCACAAACATGGGTCTAAATGGATTGCCTCATCATTGCAGGTTTTTTGACGCGTCATTCCCTTCCAACGGATAAGAATTCAGAATGAAGGGTTAGAAGGACTTGTGCTGGTAATGTTCAAAAACCCACGGCGGGAACGTGAAAGCATCATCCTCCATTTTTTGCCTGACACACTTGCATACCAACAACATCCAACAACCAGTTGCCTGTTTGCACACCCATCACTGGATCTTGTGGAACCAAACCCATATCCATGTGTTTTGGATGGCTACCCCAGTCAATTGACATAGATCTGAAAAACCCACCATTTGTAGATCTTCGTCCTTCGGAAAAAGCGTTGTCCACATTGACGTTGGTTCACCCCAGGGTTAAATCCCCCATGTTTTGCTGCTGAACCAAAAAACACTTTCTCAAAATGATGTACCCCCATTCCATCCCACAAGTTTTCATCATGTTCCCCATCAAACTGGCCATGTTTTGTTGGTGGCCCAGCCTCCTCAATTTTCCAGATCCCGGCCACTGATAAGTTGATCTCTACCATCTGAACCACTGAATCCCCAGTGCCAAGTCGCTCATCTTGCCGGCTGCTAAGCCTCGCGGCTGTGGGCATGAACCAATGGATGTCATGGGGGGTACACGATTTTTCGCACAAAGCCATGTGGTTGAATTTAGGACTCCAGAACGTTGTAGGAAATGGCTTTGCCTGAAAATTATTGGGCGAAAAACCACCAAATCTTGATGGTTTATCATCATTTTCACTATAGAATTCAGTGATTTTAAAGGTATACCGGATTTCAGACACGCCCAAATGGTTTTTTTTCCCCAACATCACTGGCTGGTGGTTTTGACCCAAGCGTTTCCCGGCGAACAAACACGGTGATCTCAAAGCACCAAACATGTTTGGATCCAAGAAATTGGGATTGATATGGATCTGGGTAAATGAAAAAATATTTCACTGACCTGAATAGTTCGGCCATTGGGGATGATTCCCCTTACTAACTATGATTATAGTGAGGTCGCGACGTGAGGTCGTTATAATTTACCCAGATGGATTGATATTCTATGTATACTAGCACTAGCTATGTTCGTTTGCAAGTAGCTTGACTAAGATCGCAAGTATATCCATGTATATCCATAGTTTGGTGGGTTTAGAAACCAATAAACACCACTGGGAGGAACCACATTGTGTACTTAGATGGACCATGGGATCAAATAGCTGGTTATACGTATAATAATTAGGTAAATTGTTCCCGCACAATTGGATACACAAGGGGCGAGCGAACCAACCCACTTGCCGACCATGTGTTCTGAGAGACCAAGGGTTAAAAAAAATGTCTGTCTCTGTGTCAGCTGCTGACCAATTCCAAACCATTTTTTGTGGTCACAAAATGATCAAAATGTAAATGATCAAAATGTAAATCCTGTGAGCTTTTCAGAAGAGGTGAAAGAGACTGCACGTATTTTCATCGGCAAGGGAGAGAAGAGGAAGATGCTTACTAATAGTAGGGATCTTCACCTTCTTCTTTTTGTCCAGCTCCAAACTGCTCTTGATTAGCTGTTTAGTTTAGTAGGTAGGCTGCTGACGAACACACCACCACATGAAAAACTGCGAACACCGCTTGGCAAGGCGACCCTTCCAGTCTTTGCGAACCCATACCCAAATCACAACTTCGAGGCTGTGATTGAAATGACTGCCAAAGGTCAAGCTTTCAAGACTACTTGGAAAGGTCACTCCTTCCAGGCTTTGGTTGAAACGATAACCCAAGGTCAAGCAGTGAAATAGTGCGGGGAAAAGTCACTCCTTTCAGGCTCTTGTTGAACCGATTACCAAAGGTCAAGCTTTCAAGACTACTTGGAAAGATCACTCCTTCGAGGCTGTGATTGAAATGGTGGCCGAAGGTCAAGCGCTGAAGACTGCTTGGAAAGGTGACTCCTTTCAGACTCTGGTTGAACTTATCGCCAAAGGTCAAGTTTTCCAGGCTCATAGGGAGGTGGGCCCTGTGGGAATCCACAAAATTCCGAGAAACCATTTGCTAGTGCCGCCCACTCTATTATGTAGTCTAGCTTGCCATACTGTATCATAAAACACAGAGCACTTAGGGTCATCCAGACTGAAGTCATTCCGCCAATCTCGGTATCATCCATTCAACAACCACCCCCTGGTATTTATGCGTCCAAAATGCTCTGAAACAGCCGAATGAGATCAAAGAGGCTATGGTTCAAAAAACGGAAAACAACACAGTAATGATTTAATGACAACAATATAAGGCTCGTAGCCTGTAGCAACACGACATATATATATATATGTATATGAACGACAATACCTTATACCCTTCCTCCTATATTACTAAACCTCCCCAAAAAATAAAAACTAGGGTCCGTCTCCAATTTTGGAAAATTTGAAGTTGGCCAATTTGACTTTTAATTGATCCCCTTTAGAAAACAATTTAAAAATAAAGCTACTATTTCTGGATTTCATCCCCTAATAATAAAAACTAGTTAGCCCCGGGGTGTTTTTTATTAGGGTCCGTTTGAAATCGAAATTGTTAACAGGGGAAAGCTTCGAAATCCAATTTTTGGCAAAATTTTAATTGGGTTATAAAAGGAAAATTAATTGATTTTGAAATCGAACAAACTAGTTTTTTATTAAGGTTTTGATTTATTATTAGGGTCCACTTCGAAATTTAGTTTGTGGAAATATTTTAATTGGGTTAGAAAAGGAAAATTAATTGATTTTGACATCGAAAAAAATAGTTTTTCTATTAAGGGTTTAATTCATTATTAGGGTCCGCTTCGACATCCAATTTTTGGCAATATTTTAGTTGGGTTATAAAGGAAATTTAATTGATTTTGAAATCGAAAAAAAATAGTGTTTTATTAAGGGTTTTAATTTATCATTAGGGTCCGCTTCGAAACCCAATTTTTGGCAATATTTCAATGGGTTATACAAGGAAATCTATATAATTGATTTCGAAATCGAAAACATTTAGTTTTTTTCATTAAGGGTTTTAATTTATTATTAGGGGAAAGCTTCGAAATCCAGTTTTTGGCAATATTTTAATTGGGTTATAAAAGGAAATTTAATTGATTTTGAAATCGAAAAAAAATATAGTCATAATTATAACTAATTACATGACTCCAACTTTGGTTCCCTAACAATAAATACCCCCCTAATAATAAAAACTACCTGAAGTCTTTATTATTTGGGGGTGGTTTTTGTATTAGGAGGAAGGGATTAGTGTCAGTAATGAAAATCATCTGTTACCCTCTGGTAAACTAACATAACTATGTAAAATCACCATTTTTCACGGGAAAATCCACTATAAATGGGCCATTTTCAATAGCTATGCCCAGCTTTTCAGTGGCCATAGCCCTGAGCTCCACACCGAGGCAAAAAGAAGGTGTGAAATCTCTGAGCGCAAAATGCAGCAGCCGCCTGCGCAAGATACAGTACTGGAGGAGGTCGCCAAAAACTGGAGGATTTATGGTGGTTTAATGGGATCTAATGGGATTTACCCTCTGGTTATGTCAAAATAGCTATTGAAAATGGCCATGTATGGTGAATTTTCCCATTAAGAATGGTGGATCTTTCCATAGCTATGTTAAATTACCAGAGGGTATCAAAAATCATCCATTAAACACCAATGGTGTATTCTCAATGAGTAATGATTCTTAATGGTGTTTAATGATGATTAATCATTACTTATAGTGATCATAACCATTAATCATTGATTATTGAAATCACAAATAAACCTTAATCATCACGAATAAACCAAACAAGGAGTAATGAACCACCAGTAAACACTCATAGGCGGTGCCAATATGTGCCAATATGTGCCAACGTCAGTAGTTCTTGATCACTATATAGTTTGTCTAAAAATAGGGGAACCCCTACATCTACTGGTAAACTATAATTTTTCCCTGTTAATCCACCTCCCATCCTCCTGTTTTTCTATGAAACACCACCATTCGATGGTCCCATTCGGAAGTGACTGGGAGATCCCACCCAAAAAAAACACCTTTTCTCAGTGGTGTTTAATATGATTATATTGAAATGGGATTAGTATCATTTTGTTCGTTAGTTACATCCCATTGGTTCATTAAATCCAATGAAATCTCCATTTGTTGATGGCTCAATTCCTTCCCATCTTGGATTACCGGTGGGTGAAGTGTGGAATTCATTAAATATACAGTACTTATATATATACACATATAATACAAATATATATATATAATATAATATATATACATAATATATATATACACGTATATTATATCCCCATTAGATTCTAATTGGATCCCCATTTAGATCCCATAATGACAACATGTTCCGACGCCGTTCCGAAACATTGGGCGCCCCAACGCTGGATTCCCTGAGCCCATCGACCAGCAGGAACATTGCAGCGGGTCGATCCTCGTTTCGAAACGAAAAAGGACTGGTACGAAATTCCTCAAAATTCTGAGGGTACATTATACAATATCAACTATATATCAACTATATATTGATCTATATTGTATAATGATGTTCCGTTTCATCAAATGATAATGATACTTGCAGGTTTTCATCTTTACATTTGAGTTCGGAACATCATTATACAATATATAGTTGATGGTAGTTGCAGCTTTGCATATCCTACATTTGATGTTGGGAAAATCTGTATGAATATACTGACTACAGCACATCGCTCACACCAAAAATCGCTCGCACTTCGAGGCTCTGACCATAAAAAGGAGCGGCTGCTTCAACAAATGGCAGGTTCGATGCAATTCTGGCCTAGCTATGCAGGGGGACTCCGTGACAAAAAAGCGGGGGTTGCTACTCTTGGAACAAGGTGAGGAAGAAGATTTTGAAATCAGCAATAAACATAAGATACGGCCAAGCAAAGGCGGCGAAAATGAGCAACAACCATGGAATTTCTGTCACAAAGGATTTGGGAAGGGACCAGTTTTCCCGCTCCTAAAGGAACATCAAACAGCAGTACTTGACTCGAGGGCCCAAAATATATCTTGCTAGCTGTGTCCAACTTAGCCTCTTTCAAATTCGTAATTGTCTCATCAAAATCCTCAACTTGACCATTGCGCGTTCATAGAAGTTGAGGTAGTAGGAATACCAATATTTTCTTCACGAATAAATGTTGAGGGACAGAACATCGCAGGTATACCTAGGACTGCACCGCCGCTGGGAGCTGCTGCAACATCACTGCCATGGTATCTTTGCGACCGCCAACGGCCGGAAGACATGCAGAGCCTGGGTCAGCTGATGCTGGATCGAATGGAATGCCCGGAAATGGGACTTAGAAAATGAATGTCCTCTTGAAATGCACATTGGTTTTTGGAATGTAAATCTGCAGTAACTAAGTTCAAAACACTCAGAACTCCGATTTGAATTGAAAATCTCTTTTAGATCAAACCCATCTATGATAAGTGACTTCGAAAACGGAAACTTCTGGTGAGATATGCCTAAAGTACCTGGTGGTGTTGATGTGTTGTTATATGTGTATGTGTGTATGTATATATATATATACACACGGGGTTGTCCAGTCGTACAACTGTTTTGATGGGAATTGCTTGTTTCATCCCATGGAACTCCATTCCAACAATCCCAACAATCTCCTTCGCCCCCCTGAGCGGTGCCCACCGTGCGAGATTCGCACTGGCAAATTTTCTGGGTGGTGCCTCAAGGGACGAGACGTGACTCGACGTGACAGTTCGGGGGGATCCTCCGGATCAATGAAGACACTTCCAATATCTTACCCTCTGGTAAACTAACATATAGCTATTGAAAATGGCCATTTAAATAGTGGATTTACCCATCAAAAATGGTGATTTTCCATAGTTCTGTAAACGTTTACCAGAGGGTACAGCATCCTCCAGCATCTTCCAACATCTTACTTCATCCAACATCCCATGGAACTCTCAAACTCCGCTTCCAAGCTCGGCCCCCCTACGGGGTTCCCGTTTGAACCCACCTTGGTGGATAACAAGGTCAACTCAAAATATCCTGGAGGGGGTGAAAGGGCCCTTTGGAAGCCCTATACTGACTCGCATCGAATGAGAAAGTGGAGATGAAGCCGGCTTTCAACATATAATATTTGACAATATCTATATACTGGATATTACTGGATACCCTGCGGCAATCTGGCCCAGCAATGCGAAAAATCCCCAATATTCTATGGCAAAACGTCGATTTATTGGAAAACAAAACCTCTTGAAATGCACTTCAGGCAGACATGGCCCCACCTCCCAAGACATCGCTTCTCCATTTTTTCTTATCCCTGCCTCGTCAAATTGTCAATCCACCAAGCATCCTCTAACAACACCATGGTTAAGTGGCAAAAAAAGAAAAAACATGTTTCAGTTTCATTCTCAAAGTTTGTGAGGCGATTTGACCAGCCATATGTACACACGTTAACTGCGCTCGTACCCTGCACTCGCGACGCACGCGAGGCGTAGAAAATGATGCACGAGGGACAGTCGCGGATCTGTTTCATGGATCAGCTCCACCAATCGATACCTACGCAGAAATTCATCAGGCAAGGGACTGAGGGTGGCCCTCTGCGAAAGTCAGACGAGGTGAAAACACCCATTGAAATCCGGCCTCTTTGGACAATTCAATGGATTGATGTTCATTTGAAAGAAAGCTGTTTTGACCTTCAAATGTGTTGTTTCCAAAAAGAATAGCTTAAACTTAAACCAGTTCAGAAAACAGTGGAGGATGTGATGGTTCTACCACTGAATTGACTAAAAACAACTCTGGAGCTGGAACGTAAAGCCAGGCAAGATGATCTTCCAGTTGAAAATGAATTTCAGTTCTCCATTCCCATTATTTCACATACCTGGTTTAAGAAAGTTGAGTATGTTGTTGGCATACATTACAATCATTACCCATTCTCTTGAGTGTGTCTGGGTCAAAAAAATGTGATCCAGAAACCCAGAACCTAATGCCACTGCAGCCCAGGAACCTTTGTTCTTCACAGCTTTGGGCGGGCGGTTAGGCTCGACCGGAACGGATCCACCCGTCATGGTCACCGTCAACCTGGGAAGCCGCCATTTATGGTGGCCTTTTCCTGGGAAAATGAGGATGAACCCCTTAGGGTTTTGGGGTACGTACACTACCCCCTGGTAAACGTTTACATAACTATGGAAAATCACCATTTTGAATGGGAAAACTCACTATTTCTATGGCCATTTTCAATAGCTATATGTTAGTTTACCAGAGGGTATCCTGGGTTTCCCCACTGGAACGCTGGCTTCACTGCCGCCACGGTGCCCCGCGGTGCGACCACCGTGCCCCGTGGGGCCACAGTTGGTGGGGCCACAGTTGGTGGGGCAGCAACCGGTGGCTCGCGGAAACGCAGGGACGCACCGCCAAGGAGGTCCTCCCACGGTTGCTCTAAGGATCAAATCTGTATGATCCGTACCAACTCGAGAGGTTGATGTTCTTGTGGGATTTGATTTCGGGGGTTTAGGACCTTCGGAAGTATTTGGATCCACAGGGATGACAAACAGCTGGATTGTTGTCAAAAAAAAACCTGCTGGGCCCGTTGGTGCCTTGTTTTTTGGTGCACGGTCAAAGGTCAAATTAATATCTGTCAAGATTTTAGGTGCAGTTCAGGGAACCATCACATTTTACCCATTTGGCAGTGTGTCAAAACCTTGTACCCCTGGTGAACATCAAAATAGCTGGTAAATGGATGTTCATCCCACTAAAAATGGTACTAATAGGCATTGATCCATACCCATTTTGTTTCAGGAAAACACCCAATTTGGGCAAATTAGCTGATGATTAGCTCCTGCAAAAGCTGTGTGAGCTCGTTGTCTCTTTGGAACGCACCTTCTGCAATCCTTGGGGCGGTGCAGGATACATCATGGAAAATCACCCATTAGTATGAAAATCATGTTCATTTGGGGGTTTCCTATGGACCCCCAGTCATCATCCATTCATATAGAATTTTCCATGAAATAAATCATCCATTTTTGGGGATCCCCCATTTATGGACACCCCCATTTACTTCCGGGAATTTCTTGTTTGATTACCAGCTGGGTACCAGAAATGGGTGGTACACACCTTCCCCACTTGAAGGTCTTCCATGATGGACTCCCATGCAGCGAAAAAATGCAGCTGTGGCGCCCGTCGGCATACTCGCACAGGGTGTCCTGTCATATTGACAAATTTTCAAGAAACGGCTCCTATGTTCACTGGGAAGATCTTGGGTGTATGATGGTTTATGCGTTGCAAGGAATAAAAACACCAACATGTTAAAATGATCATTTTATTTATTTGAGGCCTTGACTTCCAAATACTGGACCTGTTTCCTAAAATACTGGTGCCCTAAACTATAGATTATTTTCCCATCAAAACCTCCATTTATAGAGGATTTTCAGCCAGCCACATCTAAAAGTATCCATTCTACTAATTTCCTCTAAAGAAAATATGGCTACCCTCTGAACTAACATAGCTATTGAATATTGGCCATTTATAGTTGATTGACCTATCAAACATGGTGATTTTCCATAGTTATGTTAGTTTACCAGGCCGGGTAGGCCCGGTTGTTTCGTTTTCACACTCGCTCACCTCCAATCGACGCCGCAGGACCAGGAGCAAGTTCACCGTGTCCTGAGGTCGTTGTTGAAAAATCATTGTCACCCTGTGGTAAACTAACATAGCTGTTGAACATTCCCATTTAAAGTTTATTTACCTATTCAAACTCGCGATAAAATCTAGAGTTATGGTGATGTTTACCAGAGGGTACTGCCTCGAAAATGAACCATATCCCAGGAATGTGCCAGGAAATATATTGAAGTGTCAACCTGAATGTAAGATGAAACTGACCATGATATCAACGATATCTAAACATATCTAAAAATCTAAGGTTATATCCCAGACATGACCAGATTTAGAATCAAGATTCAACCTGGATGTAACATGGATAGTTACATCGTTATCTCATCAAATTCCCAAGCTGCTTGGGGGTTATTCCGAAGCACAAACTTCAGGGCTCATATCCCAGTTGTGCTTGTCTTTGGCCAAAATCCGCTCTCAAAGTCGCCGTGAAAGCAGCAGTACACTATCAAAAATGGGAGTCTCTATAAATATATTCATAGTATTGTATTATAAAATGTGAATCTCCAATACACAATCGGGATATATATACTATATATAATATATATATATATACTATATATAATATATATATATACATATATACATACATATACATATAGTTAGATGATGATGTTAAATGGAATAATCGGCCTTTGGCAAAGTCTTCGAGCTTGGCCAACCTCACGGCGTTTTTTTAGCCGGGTCTCTACGTGCACAGGTCCAAGGGGAATCCAGTTGCCAATGATCACGCAGCTCCCATCCTACCAGGGGGAGGGAAGGATCGCTTTTCCTAGAAGCACAAGGATTTTGGGGGGAAGGCCTTGGGAAAAAAACTTGGGAAAGGTGCCTAAGGGTTGCCTTTTCAATGATTCTGAAAGCAAATTCAGAACGAATTTGCAGAAAGAAGATATTTGCCTGGTAAAACAATGGTACGAGTAAGACTGTTGATTTTCGTTTGAATCGACCCAGTGATGACTGTGGAAAAATGTCAAAGTTGAGAACTCGCCTTGGGGTACCACCCACCAAAGGTGTCACCCCCCAAGGTGTCCCATGACCTGCTCATCCATCCGAATCTCGCCGTTGGCAAAAGGCTTCAGCAGAGCCAGCAGCGGTGGCATGTTGGTGAGTTGCCTGCCAGGGGGACCGCGGCACGGTGCCAGGACACGGCCAGGTGAATGACCGGTTTTACTACTGTACATCGAAGTTCAATTTGTGAATAGAGGTTGAAACCCAGGGAAACCGGTATATAATTTGTTGTCTGATATGACATATGTCTACATCAAAACATGGATGAGAACTGCAGTAACATACAGTAGCCCATTCACTTACATAGTTGATTCCTTTGCTTAAAAATGGACCATGATCGACCCCTCTGGTCACTTCCGCAGTCCAAACTCCTCAAAAGTCTTCGTAAGATGACAGTAAGGTCATGAACACAACCAAGTCATAGGTGTTCCCCATTCATGGATTCTGATATCCCCCCATAGAAATCATAGAAATCTTGGTCAGTTAACAATCCCCCAACAAAAAACAACCAACCGGGGTGGATCCTGAAGTCGTCCACTTTTTCCAAACGAGGCACCGACATCTCGTTGGTCTCCATCCACCTTCCTTTACTTGGTCCAGAAAGGCGAAGATCGGTGAAGGAAAGACCTGGGATAACCCCCGCGAAGCGGCTCGCGAATCGCCAAGCGAATGAAACGGTGGCTTGGTAAGCAATGAACTGATTGGAAATGGGGATGGTACCTGTACCCATCAAAACAGTGGTTTAGTCATTAGTCAGCAAAAAGGTTGGATTTTACGAACCAGTATTTAAGCCATGGAAGCTGGTGGCTGGGTGGGAAATTGGGATATTTATATAACCTGGGAATTTATTGGAAACAGTGGGATGTGTTCTACAGAAAACGTGGTAACCATCATCAAGGGATATGATGGGATATATATATATCATTACACTGTTACCAACAGTATGATGTAGGGGTGTCTAAAAATGGATACGCCCAAAAATGTGCAATGGTATTCAGGGAATAATGAGAAACCAGTGGATGGAATGGAAGCTTTCCCTAATTGTAGAGACAAACCCATCTTGACGCTGATGGATATAGTCACTTACCAAGTGTCTGAACATCGGGTACCTCAAAGTCCGTTGATCATGACTTGCAGTGATACCCCTTTTTCAGGCCCAGGCCCGGCATGATCCAGTCGTAGGTTCCGGTTCGTAATTAGTTAGTCAGTGGGGTAATAAGCACTTGTATATGAGATAACCCCAGACTTACCGAAACAAAAAGGGTTCTTCACCAGCTACGACAAGCTTGGGATGATCTTCCAAGTAACCAGAAGATGGCGCCCCCCAGTTATAAGTTAGTTTATCAACCCCATCAACTCTGGATGTATCATGATATATCTACCCATATCTACCCTAAACATCCATCAACCATAGCCAAGCTAGTTCTTTGCCTCAACTTCGCTATGGTAAAAACAGTAAAAACGGGGGCCGCACCTTGCCTCGAGCCAAGGTGCATAGCTGTTCTTGCAGCAGTTGATGGAGCCTCTATAGACCGCACCAATGGTGTCCTCTGCCATCCAGACGTGTCGCTTCTCTTGGTGCACCGCCAAGTGCGGCAAGGCAGTGACCAGTGAAAGGAGCACGGCCCCCCAGCACCACTCCTGGATGTATCGCCAACGAGATTATCTGGGATTATCTGGGTCTGTCTGAAGATTGGGAATTTACCCTGAAAAACGGGATTGAGAATATTGAGCTAGAGAACATGATGAGTAACCACTGAACTTTGGGTACCCTGTTTTCAGACAAACCCATGATTCTTGCCAAAAGTTGGAGGACAAGATTGACAAGATCTGAATTTCAAAAGCTGAAGCAATTCGGGAGCGCTGAAACGCAGCTGGAATTGGTCAATTTTGGAAGGAAAAGGAGACCTGATAATACAAAGCGGAACTACTTGTGACCGCCTGAAAGAAGAATCGCCTTGAAAAGTCATGTTGGGCAACTCCCGATCGGTTGGATGAAGTGACTCCTATGAAGTTTGTTTGTTTTCAATGCAGCAACATGGCCCGGCCATGTCCCAATATGTCCCATCATTTCCCGAGTTTTGGAAGGTAACGTCCTTTTTTGTGGCACAAAGCTCCCACCAATTTTTCCAGTTCATTTCTCCTTGGAATTCCAGTCTCGAATCGCGCTGTAGTTCCGGTGCTGCTCAAGAGCTATGGCGGCAGTCCCTTCCTGGCAAACCGCTTCACGGCAGAAACTGGGTATCCTTGAGGACCCCGCGGCCGTTCATCCCATGGTAATCTAACATAGTTATTGAAAGCCGCCGTTTGAAATGGGTAGATCATCTACAAACAGGCCATGTTCCATAGCTATGATTGTTTAGAGGGTAACCCATGCCACCATGGGGGGTCAATCATGTTGTAACCATAGTAAATCCAGGAACCATTGTCCAATGAGCAGCAGTGGTTCTTGTTTGCATGGTTGAAACCCAAGCATTTTGCAGTCCAACAGCAACCAAAATAGGCTGGTTCCCAAGTCTGGGGCATACTGAAAGAACACTTCACGACGCAACTTTATTCCCAAAAATCTCTAAAACTGGAACTTTGGGGGTATCATGGGGGTACCCAATAACCAATGGTTCCAACTCGTTTGGCCACCCCCAGCGCCTCATCCTCCAAACTACCCATGGCCAAACCGCCCAAGGCGTCGCTCTGCAGGAGCGCCCTCAGCTGCTCAGATGCATTGTAGGCCTGGCCGCTGGGCGGCCTCCCAAGCGCTGGAATATGTATCTTGTTGATCATTGATAGTACTATATCTATATATGTCTATATATCTATATCTATATATATATCTATACATCACTATTAATATTCATCACTATTAATATTCATCACTATTAATATTCATCACTATTAATATTCATCACTATTAATAAATTAATATTCATCACTATTAATATTCATCACTATTAATATACATCACTATCAATATACATCACTATTAATATACATCACTATTAATATACATGAGTTTGTAGGGTCATGCACGGCGTTGTGTGCAAATGTAAATCATTAAACACATGAGTTTGTACAGTGGTATGTATCTTGATATACCTATTGACGTATAGTTACATAAGTTCTTTATGCCTGTTCTTGCTGATTTGGGGTCTAGTTGGGGATTGGTTTCCCCTACACCCCCGAGATTGAATTTGAAACAGATACATTGCCATTTCCAACAAGAAACTCATCTTCCAAATTTTGGTGCTTAGGTACAAGTGACATCTATAGCAGTATAAATCCGCAGATCTCATTGCCAATATACATATCACTTTACACAACATTGTGATATCTATCTATACATATAACATATACACATATATCTAAATATATATATAGTTATACATGCGTGTATATATATATGTGTGTACCTGTATATATGTATCTTTATATCTATATACCTATATATCTACATCTATATCTATATCTATAATATATATATATATATAATATCTATATATAAAATCTATATCTATATATAATATATATATATAATCTATATCTATATTATAAATGTCCTTAGAGATAATATAACATATATAAGTGTAGACATGGATATCCTGTCATGATGCTACAATGGGTGTGGGTCATTTCACCCTGGTGCGCTTGAATTGGCTTACCCACCTGCCGCATAATGGCAGGGTGAAGCCCCTCTTGCACACAAAATCCTGAAGTCCACGAGCCAAGGCAGGAACAAGGGAACACAGCACCAATCAAGTGAATAAAAACACTGCTAAATCTTGATACCCTCGAAACAAAAAATAAGTTCCGGGTTCAAAAATCGGATTCAGATGCATCACCTCTTCGCTTTTGCTATGAAAATTGACTGCTTTTGTAAAGAATGGTAGCTTTTCTGCCAGGACACGCTTG